GAAATGAAATTATTTTGACAGAAAAATGACTTAACAGCAATAAATAACTATTTTGGAATGTTAAACATGACTGGTTAAAGTTTTACTAAATTAGATTTGAATTTTATTGAATTTATATATATTTTTATATTCTAGTATGTTATAAAATACAACAAAAACTTGTGAACAATTTCTGGACATGTCTAAGAAATGCTGAAAACAATCAGCAGTACTTTTAGTCTGTAATCTGAAGTCATAATTACATAACTGAATTCTTCATGAAATAAAAGTCCCTACATATAGTTTGATAACTATACATAATTAAATCTTCAAATCTATTTTTAAAGAAGAGGAAGGACCTAAAGAGATACCTACCTTGTACACACATTCAAATTCACATGATTGATATCATCTTTATTATCTTTTACTTCAACATCTAAATCAAAGCCTTCTTGCTTTTGGATAGAACTTTTTCTTCTAAAAGACCCTGAATCTTTCACATTATAAATAACATTGAACTGCAATAAATAACAAATTAGCAGAAATAATAAATTAGCAATATATTTATTAACAATCAATTGCCATCATTTTACATTCTAAATATTAGCTAATGATTCTCTTTGGGATAAACCAAAAAGATTTGTAACCTTCACAACTAGAAAAAACTCATTTCACTGGCCAATAATTATTACAAAATATTATTTAAAAATTATTTTTAAAATTGTAGGTAAGGGTGGGGTTGTAGGTCAGCGTTAGAGCATCTGCCTATCATGCACAAGAACCTAGATTCTATCCCTAGTACCAAAACAAAGGAAAAAAAATCTATATCAAAAATTTTAGGTAATATTCCAAAGCAAGCACCATAAAACAGTGTATAATATTCATGGGATATTGTTTTTATAAAGAATATAAAGCACACCCTTGAGAGGAAAGGGTGGAGCTATCTTCTTGAGAGTTTTATCGAATTTCTAACTTTAACACCAAATGGAATGTTTTTCACAAACTGGAACCAAAAAATCTCTCAGTAAGATAAATGAAAACTAAAACATTGCCTGTTCAGCTGCTGGGGATTCTTTTTCATGATATAATGCTTTTCAAAGATGATAAAATGATGGACTTGAAGTCAAATGGGTCTTTTACAGAACACAGTCAGTGCCCACCACTGATGTGAAAAGTGCTACGGGAATACTGGGGCAGTGTGAGGGCCAGTATCTTCCTCAAAGTGATCCTAAATCAGAAGTTTAGGAATGTACTCAAAATTTCCTAGGCCATTCTCATCCCAAGATGAAACAGAATCTACTTAATTGTTTTATTTCATCCACTTTTTTTACTACCAAGGTTCATAAAGCTGAATATTAATATGCAATATTATATTTTCTTTTATTTCTACACACATACACATACCCCTCAGAAGTAAACATTAGTGTCCTTCCTATATTTAGATACTTTGAAAAAATCTTCTCACTAAACTTCACTTTTCAAATCTAAGAGTTGTAGTCTTTTATTCTATCACAACCCAACAATCTTCCATCATATAATCATGTAATCTTCCATCTCTTTGATCATCCTGATTATCTTACTCTGGACATTCTCCAATGCTTTCCAAACTACAATAATTGATTATTAATTTTAAGAATAATTTTAATTATTGATTTTAATTATTCCTGGAGAAGAAGTTGATGGTTTCATAAAACTGGAGAGATGGTCTTTGTTATTTTCATCATGATCCTTCAGTGGCATGCAATTTTCCCTTCAGAGATCAATGTCATCAAACAAGGACTATTAGATTTTTCCACTGTGTCATAATTAATACCCATCTACAACTAAGTGTTAGGACTTATGTATGGATCACAGTAAAGCTCTACACTTCACATAGACCTCCAAGAGATCTTGCAGTTGATTTCCAACAGCTTAGCATTTTATTACCCAAAAGAATTTAACAGCTACTACAAATATAATAGTTTTCTGAGCTCTTCTTCTTCCAGAACACAAGAATCTCAATATCCATTTCTGGGTGACCAACGTTTTTCCAATTATTTCCCTCCAGTATAAGAAGAGGCTATTGGTCATTTCTATTTGTTTTCCACATATTTATATAGACATGGGACAATGAACATTCTAAATACTAGGTACCACAGTTATCCCTGTGTCCTTCAAACCTTAAGTAACAAGCATTCGGTTTCAGTGATTCATCTATATTTGGCTTATCGAAAATGAATCCCAACAATTTGTTGATTTAAGCATACATAACTTTTATATTGTCTAAAATATACTGCAATATTTACATTGGCATTTACTCTTTGCTTTAAGACAGTTCAGGAATAAGAATTTTCCCATGGCCTTTGTTAGTAAAAATTAACAGAGATTATGTACTCATTCTCTTAATAATGTAAATAATAATCTAAATAATTGTTTAAAATTATCAGGAAATTTCTAAATCATACCTGCTAATAAGCAAGGTATACCTGCCCTTGGCAGCATACCAGTTCTCTCAATTAGAATTAGTGTACTGATTTTTTTTGAAAGTACCATTTTTCAGTAATAGCCACTGTATTACTTTCTTGGCAAGTGTTTTGAGGTTGGTTTGGTTTTTTACTCATATGTATAATCATTTTCAATCCTATCAGATATTATTTGGGGTTCCAATGAGATGATTTTAAAGTCTGTATTATTTTCATGTATTTTCAGTGTAATACGTATTCTAGTCAGTATTTTCATACTACTTCCAATTTACTGTAGCTCTGCTATATCACAAAAAGTAGGCTTCTTTTCGTTTTCTTCCTGTACCACAGCATTCAACATAATCATGCTCTAATTTTTTTATTTACTATTATATAAGGATTTACATTAAAGGAATGCATTTCCTATTTTCAAGACAAAAACTTATAATGACACACTGACCTTTATATTCTTGGACAAATATTCAGAATACGTAAGTAAAATGTGTATTTGTTCATCAGGTAATAATAGAAACTATACCAACAGTACAATTTCTGAATTGTGTTTTTACCAAAAAAGTGGGAGTTCCCAACTATTCACTTGAATCATATTAAAAGATTTTAACTCTCACGTCAAAAGGCAAATAATCCCCCAAACTCATTTTTCAAATTGATTATCAATACATGACTCTTGTCTACTCACTAGTGCATAACATCTCTAATACCTTTTACTAAAGAAGAGTAGTATATCTTACCTAAGTCATAGAAATAAATAATTAAGAATTTTATACAAATCGTCTAAGATAAAATTTAGCAATGTTCCCAAAGAATTATTATTAAAAGTCATACTTAGCTTAAAAATAAACATTATTACATACCTGACAAATAGCAAATCCAAAACCACTTGCAGAAATATTAACAGCAGTTGGCTGTACCACAGCAATCTGAACAAACGGGGGGGGGGGGGGGGGGAATGAAGAATGAGTGTAATTTTCCATATCTAGTTCCTTCCAAGTACCCATATCCTCAGTATGGGTAGAAGCAATCCATGGAGAATTCTGAGAGCTTTGCATGGTCTTACAAGCCAAAGCTCACCTCCTCAAGCAGTTACAAAATGAGGCTTTGCATCTATCCTCTAGAGGAGCAAGCCAGTGTGGGGTGTCACTATTCCACTGTCTTCCCAACCTCTTCAAGGCTAGTAATTTGTTCAAGACCCTGTTAGTTTGGTGCTTGCCATAGCCCCACGTGTATTAGCTAAAAACCTCCAGAAAGAATACAGGTTTGGAAAGTGATGCCACCTGATGCCACCTGAATTCTGCCCCAACTAGTTTGATTAGAGCTGAGAAAAATTTTAACAAGCTGCATCTGCACTGGTCTCATCATGTAGGGTTGATAAGACTAAGGTAAGTGCCACAGCAAGGAGCTGTGATTTCAACTCTGTCCCTTCCCTCTCCTCTTGAATTACCTAGATCTTCACCCCATCTTTTATCAGAGGACAAGTGATTCAGGAGGCCCTTCAACACAACTGGAGCAACCAGCATCAGAATCGATTTCACATAACAAAGCTACTATCAATAGTACCTGTGGAAAATCCCAACTCCTGATGGGGACTTCCACTCTCTTAATAGAAGTGGCTAGAGGGCACATTCCATCTACCCTGCTTCCTATACCACATCTGCCTGAATGTTTCCACTCTTAAAGACTTGCAGAGAGAGTAGGGGCTTTTCTGACTCCAACATGGAACACTCTAGGCCCAAACTGATAAATCACAACCAAAGAAGCTACAGGAAAGTTACACTACATAGTCCACTGGAAATAAACTCAACAATATGCAACAAGCCAACACCCTAAGTCATATTGTCAGAAGAAAGCTGCATAACCACAAGGACACAACATAAATGTGGAAGAGATACCAATCGCAACAAATGCATGAATCTCAATGTAGAAAAACAAGAGACATGAAAAAATAAGGTAATATTTCGATAACTTCTACCTCCATAGTAACAGATTTCAAGGATACTGAAGGGGATGAAATGCCAAGAATTCACAAGAATGAGTTTTTTAAAAACTCAATAAGATCCAGGCAAATATAAATTAATAATTGAAGGAACTGAAGAAGACAATGCAGAATATGAATGAGCAAGTCAATAAATATATGGAATCTGAAAAAGAACCAAACAGAAATCTTAGAAATTAAAAGCACAATAAGTCAGATAAAATACTCAGTTGAAAGCCTCAACAGCAGAGTAGATCAATTAGAAAAAAAGAATACTGGATTTTGAAAACAACTCTACCAAAATATTTCATTCATATAGCAATAAAGAAAAAAATTAAAAGAATGAAGAGAACATACAAGATCTCTGAAACACCATTAAAAAAATCAAACATCCACATAATTGGTATACCAAAGGGAAAAAGTAACATACAGAGGGCACAGAAAACCTAGTCAATGAAATAATTACATAAAATTTCCCAAGTCTTGGAAAGATATGGAAATCCAGGTACAGGGGGAATTTAGAATTACAAATAGACATGATCAGAAAAGAACCCTTGCACAACATATTATAGTTAAATGGCCAAATGTACAGAATGAAGAAAGAATATTACAATCTAAAACAGAGAAGTGCTAAGTCACATTTAAAGGCAAAACCAGTAAACTAACATCAGATTTCTCATCTGATACTCAAAAAGCCAAGAGGACATAGTCCTAGAAGAAAATAACTGCCAAAATTACTAAACCCATCAAGGTTATCCTTCAGAATCAAAGAAAAAACAAAGACCTTCCAAGATAATCATAAACAAAGAAAAATCATGACCATTAGACCAGAATTATAAAAGAAAATATTATACCCAGAAGAAGAAGAAGAAAGATAAACACAATTATGAGAGAACATAAAAAAATAAATCCCACTAAAAGAGTAGACACACAAATGAGAAACAGGAAAGAATCAGACATTACCAATGCAATAAGCCAGCAAACATCTAAGAATAACTAATAGAGGAAGAAACATAGGATAGTCAAAACAACTAGAAGAAAGTTAACAAAATGGCGGGGGACAAGTATATCCTTTTCAATAATAACTCTGAATATAAATGGTCTTAACTCTACAATTAAAAGACACTGGTGGGCTGAAGGATTAAGAAATAAGACTCAAAAATATGTTGCACACAAGAAACTGACCTCACCTACAAAGACAAATAGAGACAGGACGTGAAAAGATGGAAAAGGTATTCCAAACAAATAGAATCCAAAAAGCAGTGTAGCTATAATTGTATGCAACAAAATAGACTTAAGAAAAATCAAAAGAGAGAGAGACAAAAAGGAGACAAAGAAGGACATAGTCATGGTTTGGATTGGAAATGTCTCCACAAAAAGTTCATCTATTCAAAGTATGATCCCCAGTATGGTAAGGTTCAGAGGTGGAGCTTTTAGGAAATGATTGTATTATGTGGGCTATAGCCTCATCAGTAGATTAACCCATTTGATGGCTTAATAACTTGAATGGACCACAGGGTGGTAATTGTAGGAAGATAGGGCATGGCTTTAGGAAGTAATTCCCTGGGTGCACGGCCTTGGGGACTACATCTGTCCCTGGTCCTTTCCTATATCTCTCTCTTCTTCCCAGTTGCAATGAGCTGAGCAGCTTTATCATGTCCTACCATGATGTTTCTGCCTTGAAACCAGTCAAGCATGGACTGAATCCTTTGGAACCATGAGCCAAAAGAAATATGTTTCCTTCTAAGTTGTTCATGTCATGTATTTTGGTCACAGCAACTAAAAGCTGACTAACATAGCTTCTATCATTCAAGGGAACAATACATCAAGAAGATATAACAATTATAAATATAAATTCACTGAATGTTGGGCACCCAGTTTTATAAAACAAATGCTACTAGACATAAAGGGAGAGAGATGCCCTAATACAACGATAGTGGGGAACTTACTACCCTTCTCTCACCAATAGACATATCATCCAGACAAAAAAAAATGAACCAAAAAAAATCAAAGTTGGATTATACTATAGATCAAACAGATTTTTTTTTTTTTCATTTTTTTTTTTTAATTTTTTATTGTTGGCTGTTCAAAACATTACATAGTTCTTGATATATCATATTTCACAATTTGATTCAAGTGGGTTATGAGCTCCCATTTTTACCCCATATACAGATTGCAGAATCACGTCAGTTACACATCCATTGATTTACATATTGCCATACTAGTGTCTGTTGTATTCTGCTGTCTTTCCTATCCTCTACTATCCCCCCTCCCCTCCCCTCCCCTCTTCTCTCTCTGCCCCCTTTACTGACATTCGGATCAAACAGATTTAACAGACATCTACAGAATATTCCAGCCAACAGCTGTGGTATACACATTTTTTTCATTAGCACATGGAATTTTTTCCAGAAGAGGTCATATATTAGGCCACAAAGCAAGCCTTAGCAAATTCAAAAAACTGAAATAATTTATTGCATCTTATGTGATCACAATGGAATGAAACTAGAAATCAACAACAAAAGAAGCTACAGAAATTATACAAATGCATGGAGACTGAAAAAAAAACACTATTGAACAGTGGATCATGGAATAAGTCACAGGGGAAATTAAAGAATTCTTGAATCAAACAAAAAAGGAAACAAAACATACAAAATCTGCGGAATACAGAAAAATCAGTACTAAGAATAAAATGTATAACAATAAGACCATCCAAAAAATGAGATCTCAAATAAATAACCTAATGATGCATCTCAAGGTCTTTGAAAAATAAGAACAAACCAAACCAAAAATTAGTAGAAGAAAAGAAATTATGAAGATCAGAGAAGAAATAAATGAAATAAAGTCTAAAATAACAATACAAAGGATAATGAAATTAAGAGTTGGTTCTTTAAAAAGATAAATAAAATTGACAAACCCTTACCTAAACTAACCATCAGAAAAAGACAGAAGATCCAAATTTTTACATAGAGTTTTGTAAAAGGGACACAATACAAGAGAAAGCACTGAAATTCAAAGGGAATTTTTTTTTAAACTATATACCAATAAATTAGAAAAATCTGAAAGAAATATATACACATGAACTACCAAAATTGAATCAAGGTGATAAAAATTCTAAAAGGATCAATCAAAAATAATGAAAATGAAATTAAAGTTGTAATTTTAAAAAAGTCTCCAAAAAAAAATAACTTCAGGACCAAATGGACTCATCATTGAATTTTACCAGACTTTTAGACAAACTAACACCAATGCTTCTCAAGCTATTACATAAAATAAAAAGAGGGAACACTTCCAAACTCTTCTGCAAAGTCAGTATTTCCCTGCTATCAAAACCTGATAAGGACACAACAAAACAGAACAGTAAGGACCAACACCCTTGATAAACATCAATGCAAAAATCCTAAATAAAATATTCTGATTAATAAGTGGGCAAATCACCTGAATAGACCCTTCAAAAAAAAAGAAAGTACAAATGGCTAATAAATATATGAAAAAGTGCCCCACATCTCTAGCCATCAGGGAAATGTAAATCAAAACTTCATTGAGATTATATCTCATATCACTTATCATAGCTGTTATCAAAAAAACAAAGAAAGAAAGAAAATAAATAAAATAAATATGTATATTATATATATGAATATTATATATGTATATATGTAAATAAATATATATGTATATATATGTGTGTGTGTGTGTGTGTGTGTATAAATTCTAGTGAGGCTGTGAAGAAGAAGAAAAAGAAACCCTTATACATGGTTGGTAAAAATGTAAATTAGTAGAATCACTATGGAAAACAGTATAGAAGTTCCTCAAAATACTCCAAATAGAACTACTCTATGATCCAGCTATTCCACTCCTGGCTATGTAGCCAAAAATGAAAAGAAAAGAAAAATGAAGTCAGCATGCAAAAGAGACAGACACCTACATACTCATATTTAACCCAGATAGGGAATCAGGCCAAGTACCCGTCAACATTAGAATTGATGAGGAATATATAAAATATACGTAATAGAATGTTATTTAGCCTTAGGGAAGAACAAAATTCTGTCTTGTGCAGGAACAATAGATGGAACTGAAAGATACCATGTTACAAGAAGACACAGAAGTAACACACATTTCCTCTCAAGTGTGACAACTAAAAAAAGAAAGATGCCCTGAGAAATAGGCAGGAATGCAAGGCATGGTTATTCCCTTTCCAATGTGGAAGTCCCCGTATTTTCTCTTTTTCTACCAATATTTCCAAAGTTCCCATCTCCTCCATCCTTCCTGAGATCAGAAAATCCAACTGAAAGGACACCCCCACCATCTCTCTGCAGGGCTCTGGAAAGAAGTCATTGCTCATGTCAGCAGATTAAAAATAAAGCAGTATTCCAGTACAAATAACCAACTTCACAGAATTTTAAATAACTACCCCTGGTTCACACCTCTGCTGTCTGAAGGAGAAAGCGGTTCTGTGTATCGATCAGAAACTTTACAGGACTCGATGAGCTAGGCTGCAACACAGTCACTTGGACATTTGTCCTTTCTGTATTCATTAGAGCTGCAAATTCAGACAGGGCCTTTAAGGCCACAATGGTATCCTGTTGAGAGAAAAAAAAAAATGATTGTCCATATAAGTATATATCAAGGTCCCCAAAGAGTAGTCAGATTTAGGAAACCTACTGTACATTCATCTACCCTCCTTGAAAATGGAAGCCTTTCTAACTCATCTTTGAATCTCTTGGCTCAGAGAATAGCAGAGGCTTAGAAAACATTTGCCCAGGAACATTGCTCAGAAAACACACACACATACTTACATATGTCACTTTTTAAACTATTATAACTTAGAAATTTTCAAACTGAGCATCTACTCTTTTATCAGTTACTACAGATACAAAATAGCCAATACAGATGGGGAACTAATTTATTCCATATAAATGTCAGATATGAAGTTTATATTAAAAAAATAAAATGAGTCTCTTAAGTGTTGGAGTTAAGTTACTAAGCTTTTTAAAATGAGTAAGTTTATGAAGTCATAGTGAAAAAAAGGAATCATATGCTCCTAATTTAAAGGGGGAAAACTACCATCTCTCACCTGGGTAGATGCAAAGCCTCCCAAGCTATTTCTCTGCCTGCTTAGCCACCTCATAATTGGGATTCCCTCGGAAATCTGAAACTGCAGAAAGTGTGAAAGTAGTGCATAAGCTGCAACTTCAATATCCAGAGAGCGTGGTTGCCAGGACTCAGAAAGCGTGGATACTGATGACACCCAGAATTGCATGCCTCCTGAAAAAGGAAAGGACTAATGTTTCAATTAACTATCAAAAATTACATTTAATTCCACTAAACCTACACTGATCCAAGTTCTGCTTGATTAGCATAAAAATATTTTAATCTAAAAAATATATATATTTTAATCTATGTATATGTGTGTACCAAGCCAGTATATGTTTATGCAGAAACATACACATACACACACACACACACACACACACACACACACTTACATATGTCACTTTTTAAACTATTACTTAGAAATTTTCATCCTTTTTATATTGCCTCTATTTGAGGATGTTTTGAGGAACTATTTTTCCCAAGAGAAATTCCATATGTTTGGCTTAAGACTAAATGACTATAAATAAAAGAAAAAACATATTATATTCCAGGAAAATAATGTATATAATTTATCTGACCAGGACATCCCCAAAATAGTTTAGGACATATGGGAAAGAATCCTGTTCTGGAAATCGGCCACTAACCAGATCTCACATTCTGGGAAACCTCTCCCTTTTTCATAAGATCTTTTATAGTTTCTGAAGTCTCTAAACAATTTCTACATTTATCACTTCTTGAATGAACAGAAATTTGAATCGGTGGGCGTCATTTAAAGTTATTTCTGCCCACCCACCCCTCTCTCTTTCCCTCTTACACACATACATGTACAACTGACTTCATAGCCCATTTGGATAGTAACTACACTTGTCCTTTTGTAGCCAAAAAGCAGTCCCCAGTCCAAAAAAAAAAAAAAAGTCCTAAATACAACCCACTTACTACTAGTAGCACCTCTTTTACTATTTTTATAATCACTTTATTATATTTATTCTACATTTTTATAATTGTACATTATAATTACATAACAATGGGATTCACTATTACAATATTCACACTTGCACATAACATGAATTGGTCGATTTCATTCCCCAATACCTTCCCTCTCCCTTCTCCCTCCTCTAGTGTTTTTCCTCTGCTCTATTGGTCTCCCTTCTATTTTCACTAGATCCTCCCCTTTTTTTTCCTTTATTCTCTCTAATTTCCACTATTTGAGAAAAAGTATATGACCCTTGATTTTCTAACTTATTTCACTTAACACATTGCTCTGTCACAATGCACTGTCCACCCATTTTCCTGCAAATGACAAAATTTTGTTCTTCTTTATAGCTGAATAAAACTCCATTGTGTATATACATACACATATGTGTGTGTGTGTGTGTGTGTGTGTGTATACATATATATGTATGAACCAACCTAGGTATCTGTCAACATATACCTAGGTTGGTTCCATAATTTGACTGTTGTGACTTGTGCTTTGGCAGCATTTTTTTTTTTTGATACTTGCATTTAGATCATATTTTTGAGCACTTGCTATAAGGCAGGCTCTGCACATGATCTCATTTAATTCTCACTCATGATCTCATTTAATTCTCCATTTAATCCTAATACAGGTGTTAGTTCCACTTGTAAAGTGGAGAAACTGGAACTCTTAAAGTTAAGTTACAGAATTAGAATTTGAATCCAAGTCTCTCCAGAACACAAGATTTTAAAGAACATTTCAAATCAAAAAATGGCAAGTGATGTACAGCAGAACATATCTAAAAGGAGATACCTGAGCCCCAAAATTCTATAGGTAACTCCCAGAGGGGCTAGAGGCATCGTCACCATGTCAGGCCCATCCTGAACTCATTCTGTATTTCATTTTTGTAAATGTAACCAACTTCATATCCAGCTTATAAAATCTTCTCACTTAATTTACATCTTCCATAATGCTTAACAGTCCAAAAAAATTCAATCCAGTTCACATGTTACCTTCTTGTTCTGCACGCTCAGTCAGCAAATTCAAAGCTTCCTTTGCTTTAGGACTTTTCACTGATGACAACGCGTAAGTTATAAGAGCTAGAGTGTAATTGTCTGAAATTCCTCTACTGAATTCAGACTCCAAAAATGTGACAGAGTCTTGAACATCAATATTAGGCTTGAAAGAAAAATATTTAGATTTTACTACTCAACCCATAACCACACAGTAAAACAAAAAGTACTTTGAAACATTTATTCAAAAAATTTTTCAACATTTCTTAAGCACCTGATCTTGACCTAGGCAATAGGAATCAACAATGCTCATTGACATTTAAAGATTTGCTATGTATTTTGAAAATAATACTGCTTTTATTTGTTATAATTAAATAAGCACCATTATTTTCGAAGGAATAAGAAATAAAAAGTAGAGCTTTTGCAACTGATTGAGTATCATAAACTTAGATATAAAAAAAGAAAATACAGCTTAAGAAAAATATTTCTCTGATTTAATTTCAGATACTGAATCTCTAAATTTAAGGGAAAGTTTATGACTAGTGCTGGGCTAGGAAAATAGTAGGAGCTTAATAAAAAGAATAGTGCTGATCTTATAAAATGTAATTGACAGTTAGCAGTAAGGTGTCAAACACCAAGATGTCAAACATCTGGAGCAAAATTAAGCTCATGAGTGTAACTTTCCATGCACACTCATTCTCATACAAGCACCCATGCCCATTCAGAGTGTGGGTGTGCTTTCCACCAGATTAACCAACACTGCAATTGTTCCATGGTATTTTAGAAATAAAAATCCTTCACAATCTCATCTTGCTAGAACACATTCCCAATATTTAAGAATATTCTTTTCCCTAACAATAATGAGATAAGGGCTGGGGTTGTGGCTCAGCAGTAGAGCGTTTGCCTCACATGTGTGAGACCCTGGGTTCGATCCTCAGCACCACATTAAAAAAAAAAAAAGTGAAATAAAGGTGTTGTGTAAAAAAAAAGAAAATCAGCACAGTGTCCAGGAAACAATAATAAGATATGTATTGACTTCTCTTACTAATAGCAAGTACAATACCTATATTAGAAAATATTTTATAATTCTCTTATTCTGAAAAGTGAATTAATTTTATACTCAGATTTTGGGATGTGGCCACAAATTGAAAGCAAAGGTCACCCAAATTCAGTTTTAAACCCAATGTGAAACTGCAAAATTCTTTAAGCTTCCAGACATAGATTTGACCCACCAAAATCTACTTTCCTAGGATTTCCCACTTGTCATTTATTATAGATTAAGTACCTGATACTTCTTGTATCCCAGGAGAGAAGTCACAATATAGGCTGTAAGTGTTACTGGACTTTTATTGCTACCTTGAAGTTCACTATGGATCACTCTTCCTGGCTCCCAAAATTCACCATTGGATTTCTGATGTCCTTTGAGCCAAGTATATGTTCTGTGTAACACATTCTGATCAATATCTATGTAAGGATCAGCTTCAAGGAAACATCTTAAAACAAAAGCTGACAACCTTGGTGAAAAGGGGAAAAAGACATAAAACACACTTTACAAAGTCCTCCAAGTAACACTGAGCAAGCAAAACAACAACTCTTTTCCCCATCAAAATATTCACCAAAGGTGAATTTCTCTGAAAAAGAAAAACAAGGAAGAAAGAAGAGAGACAGCATGAATGAACAACTGCCTAGCAGACAGATCTGGTTTCTACTTGAGCATGGCCAAGAAATTCCAGGTTGAATCACAAAACATCAGATTTGAAAAGGAATTTAGAAACCACCTAATCTAGCCTCTTCATTTTACAGATTGAGACTTTGGAACTCCGAAAGCAATAAATAAATTGCCCAAGGTTACTCATCCTTGTATTCTTCTACACATGTACTTAAACGTGTGGCTCAGCCTAAAGCTGTGGATGAAGTATACACTTTAGTTACAGTTAGTACACAAGCTAACTGTAGTCCTCCAAGTGAGAGGATTGGGCATTTTCTCTTTTAAGTACTGCAGCCCACATACCCCATCTGTTTGATCCAAATCTGGCCCTCAGGCCAAACAACTCAGGGCATGTTTCTGTCTGCACCCCACACATACACCTATCAACAATGTCAAAACCTAGGGAGAAGCAGAAGAGAAGAGAGGGGAAGGAAGAAGAGAAAGAGGAAAGGAAGAGAGGGAGGGAGAAAGGCATGCAAAGAGGGAGGGAGGGAGGGAAGGAGGTAAGGCTTATGCAACAGAGACTCTATGTGTCCCAAAATGTCTGACGTGTTTACTGTCTGACTCTGTATAGAAAAAGTTTTCCATCAAACACATTCCTATACATCAGCAATGAATCCACTGAAAGAGAAATCAGGAAAATTACCCCGTTCACAATAGCCTCAAAAAAAAAAAAAAAAAAAAATACCCGGGAATAAAAAAAAAAAAAAAAAAAAAAAAAAAAAAAAATACCTGGGAATCAATCTAACAAAAGAGGTGAAAGACTTCTACAATGAAAACCACAGACTACTAAAGAAAGAAATTGAAGAAACCCTAAGAAGATGAAAAGATATCCCATGCTCCTAGATAGGCAGAATTAATATTGTCAAAATGGCCATACTACCAAAAGTGTTATACAGATTTGATGCAATTCCCTCTAAAAATCCCAATGACATTCTTCATAGAAATAAAAAACGCAATAATGAAATTTATTTGGAAAAATAAGAGACCTAGAATAGCCAGAGCAATCTTTAGCAGGAAAAGTGAAGGAGGAAGCAGCACAATACCAGACCTTAAACTATACTACAGAGCAATAGTAACAAAAATAGCATGGTATTGGCACCAAAATAGAAACGTAGACCAAAGCACAGAATAGAAGACACAGAGACAAACCCACATAAATATAGTTATCTCATACTAGACAAAGGTGTCAAAAACATTCACTGGAGAAAAGATAATCTATTCAACAAATTGTGCTGGCAAAACTGGAAATCCATATGTAGCAAAATTAAATTAAACCTCTATCTCTCACCCTGCACAAAAATCAATTCAAAGTGGATCAAAAACTTAAGCACTAAAACAGAGACCCTGTACCTAATAAAAGAAAAAGTAGGCCCAGATCTTCACCTAGGATCTGACTTCCTTAACACATCCCTAAAGCACAGAAAGTAAAATCAAGAATCAATAAATGGGATGGATTCAAATTAAAAAGCTTCTTCTCAGCAGAGGAAACAATCAATAATGTGAGGGGAGAGCCTACAAATTGGGAGAAAATCTTTACCACATGCACCTCCAATAAAGCATTAATCTCTAGGATATATAAAGAACTCAAAAAACTTAATACCAAAAAAAAAAACCCACACAAATAAACCAGTCAATAAATGAGCAAAGGAACTGAACAGATACTTCACAGAAGAAGAAAAACAGTTGATCAACAAATATATGATGTGTTCAACATCTCTAGCAATTAGAGAAATGCAAATCCAAACTACACTAAGATTTCATCTCACTCCAGTAAGAACAGCATTCATCAAGAATACAGGCAACAGTCAGAGAAATGCAAATCAAAACCACCCTAAGATACCATCTCACTCCAGTAAGATTGGCAGCCATTATGAAGTCAAACAACAATAAGTGCTGGCGAGGATGTGGGGAAAAGGGTACACTTGTACATTGCTGGTGGGACTGCAAATTGGTGCGGCCAATTTGGAAAGCAGTATGGAGATTCCTGGGAAAGCTGGGAATGGAACCACCATTTGACCCAGTTATTGCCCTTCTCGGACTATTCCCTGAGGACCTTAAAAGAGCGTACTACAGGGATACTGCCACATCGATGTTCATAGCAGCACAATTCACAATAGCTAGACTGTGGAACCAACCTAGATGCCCTTCAATAGATGAATGGATAAAAAAAATGTGGCATTTATACACAATGGAGTATTACGCAGCACTAAAAAAACGACAAAATCATGGAATTTGCAGGGAAATGGATGGCATTAGAGCAGATTATGCTAAGTGAAGCTAGCCAATCCTTAAAAAACAAATGCCAAATGTCCTCTTTGATTTAAGGAGAGCAACTAAGAACTGAGCAGGGAGGAAGAGCATGAGGAAAAGATTAACATTAAACAGAGATGAGTGGTGGGAGGGAAAGGGAGAGAGAAGGGAAATTGCATGGAAACGGAAGGAAACCCTCAATGTTATACAAAATCACATATAAGAGGTTGTGAGGGGAAAGGGGGGGAACAAGGGAGAGAACTGAACAACAGCAGATGAGGTAGAGAGGGAAGATGGGAGGGGAGGGGAGGGGGGATAGTAGGGGATAGGAAAGGCAGCAGAATACAGCAGTCACTAATATGGCATTATGTAAAAATGTGAATGTGTAACTGATGTGATTCTGCAATTTATATTTGGGGTAAAAATGGGAGTTCATAACTCACTTGAATCACTTGTATGAAAGATGATATGTCATGAGCTTTGTAATGTTTTGAACAACCAATAAAAAAAAAAGAATACAGGCAACAATAAATGTCGGCAAGGACATGGGGAAAAAGCTTCACTCATACTTAGCTGGTGGGACTGCAAATTGGTGCAACCACTATGGAAAGCAGTATGGAGATTCCTCAGAAAACTTGGAATGGAACCACAGTTTGACCCAGCTATTCCACTCCTCGGTTTATACCCAAAGCACTTAAAATCAGCATACTACAGTAATGCAGCCACATCAATGTTTATAACAGCTCAATTCACAATAGCTAAACTATGGAACCAACCTAGATGAATGGATGAATTCAATAGATGAATGGATAAAGAAAATGTGAGATATATATATATATATATATATATATATATATTCATTCAATGGAATATTACTCAGCTTTTTTTTTAAAGAGAGAGAGAGACAGAGAGAGAATTTTAATATTTATTTTTTAGTTTTCGGCAGACACAACATCTTTGTTTGTATGTGGTGCTGAGGATCGAACCCGGGCTGCACGCATGCCAGGTGAGTGCGCTACCGCTTGAGCCACATCCCCAGCCCCCAATATTACGCAGCTTTAAAGAAGAATGAAATTATGGCATTTGCCGATAAATGGATGGAATTGGGGAATATTATTCTAAGCAAAATAAGCCAACCCCCCCCAAAAAAACAAAAGCTGAATGTTTTCTCTAATATGTGGATGCTAATTTATAAGGAAGGGGGCACTAGAGAAGAATAGAGTTACCTTAGATTAGGTAGAGGGAAGAGAAAGGGAAGGAGACATGGGGATAGGAAGGATAGTAGAATGAAACAGACATTATTACTTTATGTATATATATATGACTGCATGAGCAATGTGATTCTACAACATGTACATTCAGAAAAATGAGAAATTATATCCCATCTACGTATGATATATCAAAGTACATTAATGCATTCTATTCTACTGTCATGTATAACTAATTAAAAAATTAAAAAGAAAAAAGTTTTCCAACCTTGATATGGAACACTATATTAAAGTAAAAAGAATATACAAAATCGTCTATTTATGGATTTATATCCTGACTCGTGATAAGAGAAAATTTGAAGCAGAATCCATTTCATCTTATAAAAGTTTTAGCATGATAAATATCACTAATATTCAATAATATGCAGTTCTCCTTTAAGTATTAATGTTCAATAATATCCAGTTTTCCTTTACTTTGAGTATGCAAAGGAATTCACTTCCCTGCCCCCTTGGCACCAGCTCCGATAATGATAAAGTGAGTAGAAATATTACACTTAGACTAAAGCATCCAATTGCCAGTGCAAGATACTGCAGCCTTCTCTTTTAGGGCTGTGGCAAGCTTGGAGCCTCCTGTTCTGATGGTGAGATGCTGGCTGCCAAAGCACAGAGAGCAGAGTCCCCTGCTGACCCACAGTGGAAATGCAGCAAACGAAAGAGACCATTGTTAATATGCTGTTGAGATTTAGCATTTACTACTATAGTTTGGATCTTGTGTTCCAAGATGTGTTCCCCCAAAGTCACATAACTAAGCATAAAAACCATCTTGGTGAACACTGAAGCGTAAACTCTGCCTTTAATTTGCTTGCTTTTGAAGGTCTCCAAGTGTTGTCCAAGATTTAAATTCTTTTGCATTTAATTTGGGGATATTACAGTTCTTATTTTCTGCTTTCTGCTTTAAAAGTCCTAGTATATTAAATTTCCTATAGCACTTAATATAGGGAGTACTCATGAGGGTACTATTGAGAAGTGGTAGAACCATTAGTGAGAGGTGAGGGACTATGGGGAAGTCCTTAGATCATTTGGGGCATTTAGAGCATGGATCAATGGAACTGTGGGAACCTGACACTTTCTTCTTTGTTTTTTGTTGTTGTTGTTGTTTTGTTTTGTTGTTTGTTTGCTTGCTTGTTTGCTTCCTAGGCATGAGGTCAGAGCCTTTGTTCGGCCACAGCTTCTGCCATGAAGTGCTGCCTCATCACAGACTCAAAACAATAGGGTCAACCATGGACTACAATATGCAAAAATATCCAAAATCTTTTCTCTCTGTCTCTCTTTCTCCCTCTCTCCCTCTCTCCCTCAAAAAAAAAAAAAAGTTTTGTAGATACATTCTTTTAACATTTTTTTTTCACAGAATGAGGATCAAACCAGGGCCTTGCACATGCTAGGCAAGTGCTCTGCTACTGAGCTATATACCAGTTCAATCTTTTCTCTTTATAAGTAGATTATCTCAGGTATTTCATTATAGTGACAAAAAACTGACTAACATAGTCAGTCAATTTTATTCTGAAATATGAAACTGAAGAGAGATTAATTATCCAAAATCAGCCACATAGAGATTCATTCAAGAGGAAACTCCAAATGCTCATTACTTAATCTAATCATTGTTTTTTTTTAAATAAAACAACCTTAAATAAACCACATAAACTGTATTAACAAAACACTTGCACTAATCAGATCAGCTTATAGAAAGAACAATGTCACAATAATCAATTTTCCTTGTCAGCTGCATCATTATCACAAGATATTTCTAGTGCTGTTTTTCCCACAAACAAAAGAGAAATTGTAATTTATCTTTTCTAAATAAAAAGTATTTGATTTATTAATGTTTTAAACCATGCTTTAAAAAGAAAATCCCTTTAATGGGGCTCTAAGAAAAGCAGCTGCCAAGTCTATACACAGAGACATGTCTATCAATTCCATGGCCAGTGTGACCTAGTAAAAGCCCATCCCATGACACATGTGTTGGATTGGAAAAATCACTTACCAAGTGCTCCCAGAAGGGTCATTATTCCCAAAAGCACTGAAGGAGCCATCATCCCTCTGGTAGAGAAGTTCCCTCTGGTAACCTGAAGAAACAGAAATGGACTAGTATTCAATGTAATCAACTTGCCATAATAAAAGTTTCTAATAATGACTCCATGTTGAGGAAATAGAGCAGAGAAGTGGAAAGAAGAAAACATAAACCAACACCTAATAATGAGTACTCCCTATGTTAAGTGTTATAGGAAATTTAAAATACTAGGACTTTTAAAGCAGAATGCAGAAAATAAGAACTGTAATATCCCCAAATTAAATGCAAAAGACTTTAAATCGTGGACAACACTTGGAGACCTTCAAAAGCAAGCAAATTAAAGGCAGAGTTTTATTTAACGCTCCAGTGTTCATCGAGATGGTTTTTATGCTTAGTCATCTAAAATTATTTGATGCCTAAAAAAAAAAATAGTATTTACCTATGGTATCATAGTTAAAGTTTACAAGACCTAAAACAGTAAAACTACTTTCTACTCATATACCAGCAATAGATAAGAGGAAATGCTATATAATCTGAGATAACATCTCAAATTTTTTGGTCATGGCCAACTGAGGCAAAACAAAACATCAATGGTCAGCCTACCACAGCAATTCCACATTTCCACTCAAAAAAGTACTTGGTCATAAAACTGAAGTATTATTACTATTAAAAGTAAAAATTGGAGAGGCTTGTTAAGACTCAAATATTTGCCTTCATAAATGCAGATGTTTCATATTTGCAAACAAATTATCTCAAATCAAATGCAGTTGTTTCATATTTGCAAAGCAATACATACAGGACCAAGTCCAATGACTGAGAAATCATAGGCCAAAAACATAGTGAAGAAAAGAAAGTACTATGTTTCATAGTAATCTTTAAGACTTAACGGAAAAAGGAATATGAACGTTTAAAGTGATAACGATTTTGCTTAGTTTGAAATTAGATTATGATCTTTTTATACAATCGAAATATTATGATATGGTAATTAAATAATCCACATTCATTCAACACTGACTAGATATCAAGAACTGCTCAGGGTCCTTTGCAAGTATTAACTCAGGTAATTCTCACAACATCTACCCTGTGGTGTAGATGCTATTATTATCCTCTTTATACAGATAATGAGGCTGAAACTCAGAGTATAAAAATACTACCTACATAGTCACAACTGGTAGATAGAGAACGTGGGATTAGCCAGGGTCTAACCAGCTCCAAATAATTCAAAGAATTCTTTCAATGATTAAACATGACACTGCATGAAAAGTCCTTAGCACATTAAGCTCTCAACAAACGATAGGCATTGGTCTCTGACTGGGATGTGGGAAAGGTTTTCTAAGCACCAAATATGACAAAATAAAAATTGAAAAGTTTGACTATTAAAAAAGATTTTAAATTCCTCAATGAAAAAAAAACCACTATAAGTTGAAAAAATAAAAGGACATATTGCAACATATAAAATTTATAGCTAACAAATAATATTAATCAATAAATGTACCTGTATATTTACATGTTGACATTATATATACATATATAAAAAAATTTTAAACTTCAGGGGAAAGATTTTTTTAAGTCCTATAGGAAAAAAGTGAACAAAAAGACAAGAATAGACAAGTCATAGAAAAAAATATAAGATGAACTTAAATATATGAAAAATGTTCAACGTCATCATAGGAAAAATATAAATTAAAATTACAGTGACCTACCATATCTTATTTATCAGATTAGCAAAGATTCAAAAGCTTGACCACTCATTATGTAAGGAAGACAGTATTCATCCATCACTAAAGGAGATTCAAAGTGATATAACTGTTTAGGAGAGTGTCTCTCCCCTTTTGAGCCAGTAACCCCACTTCTGGGAATCTACCCTGGAGACACACCCCCAATAACATAAAACTATATATGCAGATTATTCATTTTAGCATTATTTGTAATTATAAAATATTGAAAACTACCTAAATAGTACCCAAGTCAGAAATTGTTTGAATAAATAATTACACATATGTAGAACAAAGTACTATGTGACTGTGAAAAAATGACAGAGGAATATCTCAATAAACTGATGTAGGGTCATTTGTTGGACATACCTTTAAATTAAAAGGCCAAAATCTAAAATAGCATATCTTATATGCTACTTTTTGTACAAGAAAAAAGAGGAAATATAAAGCGTACGGGTATATGTTTATTTTTTTCAAAAAGAGAAGATAAACCAGAAACTAATAAAGTCGGTTACTCACAGGGAGTAGGAAGAAGAGAAAGGAGAGGGAAAGAGATCTCTTTAAATATACTTTTAAAAATGAGATTCACAGGATGGGCATGGTGGCATATGCCTGTAATCTTATTGGATTACAAGTTCAAAGACAGCCACAGCAAGAGCAAGGTGGAAGCTACTCAGTGAGACCTGTCTCTAAATAAAACACAAAATAGGGCTGGGGATATGGCTCAGTGGTTAAGTGCCCCTGAGTTCAATCCCTGGTACCCCCAAAAAATAATAAAATTCACTTTTAGAAGCATGTTAATGTTCTGCATATTCAAAAAACAAATAAAAATAGAAAAAAAAATAAATCATCAGCTTTATTATGAACACTACTTAGTTCATTTCATCATGTTTTAGTTTTTATACAACCCTGAAAAAAAAAAAAACAGTATATAAGCTCTTAATTTTTCAGAGGCAATCAGAGATCACAGAGAAGCAGAATAATTTCTTAATCTTCACAAACAATATTAGCAAAAGAGTCTAAGACAGTCTCAGGACTAAATCCACTAGATAGCCAGAGTTCAACTGTGAACTCAATCTAACAGGGAAGTGGAGGGGAGAGGAGACCTTTGGAGGCCTCCCATCATTAGAGGAGGTTCTTCTGGGGGAGAAATCCATGTACTTCCAAGCCCCCACACATCAACAACTGCAGTTCCAAGTATGAGATCTTGTAAAACCGGTCAGAGAGCTGAGATCATGGAGATGAGATCAGTGCTTATGGAAATTACCCCTCAGGTGGCTGACCTCCAACATTCCTGTTAATATCAACAACTAGCACCATTCTTCCACTAGGGGCAACCAGCCCAGAGGAAAAGAGGAGCCCATGTAGAGCCAGTTGTGGAGTGAATTTCTTAAACTGACTTAGATAAACCTGAGAGTCTAAACCTCCAGCTCTGCTCCCATGAAAAAATAAAGGAAACAAGCAGAACCCAGCAAGAAGAACTTATATGATTGTCTTTGTGGGCATCCCCTGAGCGGTTTCCCTCCTCCTGTTACACCAGCCACGCATTGTTGGAGAACCCTCCGCTGTTTGTCCTCCAGTGCATCCTAGTGCATCAGGCCTCATTTCCACTCCATGAGCAGAAAAGGACACTGTTGATGGAGCTACAGCTTTTGTTCTTAATAAAACAATTCAACATTCCAGTGCAGTCACCTGAGTTGATGACTTTTCATCACAATAAGTGAGAATGTCAAAAACATGGTTTTCTCCAAACGTTTATGAAAAAACAAGACTATTACTTTTAAATTAATAGTTTTATGACCAGATCTTGAGTTTGAAATTAATAACATAAACAGAATTGTCAGACACTTATGAAAATTGAAATACAGAAGAAGTCAAGAGACTTTTAGGATAATGACCCAGGAAGCACTGTTTATAAATGACAAAATAGGACACATACATTTCAGGATCATGAATTTTCTTTAGACTAACCATGAATAAAAAAAATCTCCAGAATTTACCATAGTAAAGATAAAAGTACTGTTTACAGAAACACATCAAAAAGTAACATTCCAGGGCTTCAGATATAGTTTAGTGGTACAGCACTTGCCTCATATACAGGAGGGTTCTGGGTTTGGTCCCCAGCACCAAAAAAAAAAAAAAAAAGTAACATTCTGAATACAGTTTACCTTAAATATCAAAATTATATGTAAATAAAAGAAGTAAAATCAGCTTTTTTTGACTACTGAAGCACTTTCTCTAGAAAAAGCTGATAAAGATATTTTCTGTACTAAAAAGAAAAATAATCATTATTCACTTCCTTACTTTCTCTGACATGAGATATAGATAGAGAAGTTTATGTTTTTTTTCTCCTCTAGGTTCTTCACTATTACCTCCAGCTACACTTGTGATGGCCAAAGGCAGCAGCAGAATTCTGAAGCCCATTTTTTCCTGTTTTTATTTCAATAGACAAAAATATAGTGTTTTCAACCAGACTTGGTCTGATTCTCACTTGAAAAACTTGAGCCACAAATGCTATGATTTGAATATCTGAGGAAAATAAGGTTTAAATCTTCAGTTAACCGGATTTCCAGTCCTTATCAGAAACAGTTTTCATTTTATGATTCTGCTTTTTGCTTTTTTAAACAGCAAAATACACACACTTCATTCAATGATGTAGCTGTTGTTTTGACCCAAAAAATCAATGGGTTAGGTTACAGGTTTCCTGGGCCAAGCATGATTTAAGTAAAACAATGCGCTGTCCATAAATGACATTTAAATAATGTAATCATGACTCACACCAAAGCCACTTCAATTTCTTAAAAAAGAAAAACAACTACACTATATTTAAAGGACTTGGGCAAATATGATGGCAAAAGAAAAGACAGTCTCTGATTTCATTATGAAATCAGTGTCTGATTTCATAATGAAAAGTATTATACCAGGAAACTTTTGTCTACCACTTTGAAATGTAATTTGGACTAGCATGTGAAATGATGTCTTTGGGGAGCTCAGTTTTGTTAACTTTCATCAGTCACTTCACCATATCAAAGGGGAACATGTTGAAACTACGGGTCACATATCCCGGCTGATAAGACCTCTCGCTGAGACCAGGGGGAATCTTGAGTGTCTACAGATAATCACTACATTGTGGAAGTGCTTCAAAAATCTTCTAGGCCCATCTCCACATGAAGATGGTGAATCTAAAGCCCAAAGAAAGAAGTTAATATGGATAATTCATTCATCCATTGGCTATTTACTGAGATACTTCTAAAGTAATACAATGAAGATGCAGTTAAACCTTGTCACAGAGTTCATTCTCCAAGTGTAGGAGACAGATGGCGAACAAGATAATTTTAAAGAATGTTAAGTGAAAAAAAACAAAATGGAGTAATGTAAATCAGAGTCAGTAAATGGTCAAAGAAGGTCATTCTAAGGAAAACACAGCTAACTAAGGAAGACAGTCAGGGAAAGATCTGAGGGAAGAGCACTCCAGGAGAAGAAAGAGCAAGTAGCTAGAAGCTGGGAATGCTCTAGACAGTGCAGAAAAGGAAGCAGAGAGGGTGGCAGTTGGGGAGAAAAATAGAGGATGAAGCCACTTCACTCAGGACCTGGAGGGGCCAGGTCAGTAGTCCATTGGAGGACTTTAAGCTAGAAAATTACATAATCTAGAAATTTTCAAAAGATCCCTTTTATAATATATGGAGATCATATACTGAAGAGGAGGGACCACAGAAGCAGAAAGACTAATTAGACAACCAACGGATTAGTCCATATGAGTAACTATGCTGTTAGAATTGGAACAGTGAGCCCTGAGATGGAGAGAGGTGGAAGGATTTCTTATTTGTTTCTAGAGGTAGAATGGTCAGGATTTGTTTGCTGACTTTCAACCCTAACTCCAGAGTTAGAAGAAACCACTCTCATAACTGACATACTTAACTGTTGAATACAGTGCTGAAATATTTCATTCTCAAGTCAACTGTATCAGGTGGGAAAACTGAGGCTCCAAGAGGGCTAGAAAATCCCAAGGTAGGAGCCAGGATTTAGAGCCCAGTTCTGACTGCCTCCTTAGCCGGTGCTATAACACCTAGACTCCAGTTTCTCTCAAGTGAAGACAGGCTTTCTTTACAGCAGTAGTGCTGGACAGTCTGAACAATTTGGAGGACCATTTGGCACTTAGAGACCAAACATTTCTTTGCCCTCTGGAAGCTATGCACCTTCTAACAACCAACAAAAGTGAAGAAAGCTCCCAAGTAATCAGTGAGATGTTCAGAGGGCTGCTTTGAAAAACTTACAGTTTGGCACCAGCCTAGTCAGGATTGGCCTGAAGGAACTAGCACTGCTTTTGGAGCAAGGGCTCTTTGGAAAAGAATTGGACCAGTCATTTTTTAAAAAAATCTTTCCTGACCCGGAGCCAAGGATCTATGTCACAATCTCAAATTATCTTTTTTTTTAACTATTTTCTTTTTTTAGTTGGTGATAGACCTTTATTTTATTTATATGGGGTGCTGAGAATTGAATCCAGGGTCTCACACATGCCAGGCAAGTGCGCTACCACTGAGCCACAGCCACAGCCCCTCAAATTATCTTTAAAGGACAAGTTATCATTCCTTAAATGTTTCAAACTATTCCTTTAAGGTTCCATCTTTCAAAAGCTTTAGTATTAGATTAGCCAAAGTTCATAAAGCATATATAGATATGAAATTATGGCATTTCCTGAAATATTTCACTTCACTGTATTAAAATATCACAAAGAGTGAATATAATGAATTAAAAAACACCAGTGTACTTCTTAAATGCACTCTTTTCTTGAAACCAAACAAACTAAATCTTGACTACACACCAGATCTTGTTTTTAAATGTGCAGAGTTAACTTAGGATAATCTCCAATAAATTTTACTCATCTTCTTAAATATAACTAATACACCAATGAATAAAGATCTCATATTTTTTAGGCATGGCACACAATATGCCATAGAGAGCTCTAATAGCACTTATTAAACAAAATTATGACAGAATTTGAAAAATAAACAGTTATTATATGTGTGCATTTAAAATATAAATAATCCACAAATATATGTATAACAAATGGCAATTTTAAGTGGGAAACTCTACAAGTAAATTGCTAGATCTTTGAATCCTTAAAGGGCAAACCACCTCCTGGGTTTGAGAACCAGTCAGTGTCTGCAGGACCTTTCCATAATCTGAAGGAAAATATACCAGTATCTCCATTCACTCAGAACTCAGGTCACATTTAGCCCTAATTCCAAATCCTGGTCACCCTAGTTTGTCATGAACTGCATGCATTGCTCCTGATGTAACCCCTTGACTCCCACTCAGCCTTTGTGTGTACCATCCAGGCCCACAGACAGTACTTCATCTATTTCAATTCAACACCTAAGAGTTCACACTGTTATAATCTGACACTGCAGATTCTAACCTGTGGTGTCGCCTTCCCCACAGGACCCCATGTTTCTCTCTCACCATTTTATCTGAACATTCACCAAGACCTCAGTACATTAATGGTACTCCAGCACCTTGGTCCAATTCCTGGTCTTCTTCTATTCTATCCCACTGCTTCTAACAACCTAACAGCGTTGCAAACTAGAATTATCCTGTAGTGTTCTGAGGAAGATCATGGACGGAACCAGATGACCTGGGAGTAACCATAGGTAAGTTAGTTAACCTCTCTGTGCCTCAATTTCCTCATCTATAAAACAGAAATAGCAGTCCATTTACCTCCTAGAATTAAATGAAACATGCGCAAGGCTTTACAACGGGGTTAGTTGCTCTTACCATTATTACACAGACTTTAGGTTAAACAGGTCTCTAATAATAAGGGAACATGCAAGAAAAGCTCACATCAAAGCAGTCTTTACTTAGTTTTCCGATTCTTTTATGCAAAATTTAACAAAAGGGCTAACAGCTTGCCTCTCTTTGCATTTAACCTATTCACTATAAGAAAGAAAAACAAGAACTTAAGAATTGGAAAACATTGAACTATACTTTACTTAGATTATACTAAATAAGCATTTTCCAGTCATTTTGTATAAACCATTCAAACCTTCATGATTCTGATGGACAGCATACAAATCACACAGACAGGAAAAACTCAGTCACACAGTGATCTTCCTCTAATAAGGAAATGCAAAAACTGAAACTGTAACTTCAGGATAATTTTTGGAATATTCCAGAAAATCGATTATTTTTATTATTATTATTATTATTATTATTATTATTATTATTAAAAATATCTCAGAATTCTTCATTTTGCTCCTAGATGTAAATACTAAGAGCACAGACTCTGGAGCCAGATATTAGGTCCAAATCTCAGTTCTGCTACTGACTTGCTACATGACCCTGGTCAAGGTGTCATGTAGTGCCTCCACTTCTTCATCTGTAAAAATGGGGTCATGCTAATATTCATTGTGAGAATTCAATGAGACATTAGATGTAAATTGCTTAGAATACTGCCTTCTACATAATAAGCTCTCAATCCTGGTAACTGTGAATATTAGCAAGTGCCCAAGCCATCTGGTATCTAAACAGTGCCACCAACTGCAAATTGATACAGCCAATTTGGAAAACAGTATGGAGATTCCTTGGAAATCTGGGAATGGAACCACCATTTGACCCAGCTATCCCTCTCCTCAGACTATACCCAAAGGACTTAAAAACATCATTCTATAGGGACACAGCCACATCAATGTTTATAGCAGCACAATTCACAATAGCTAAACTGTGGAGCCAACCTAGATGCCCTTCAGTGGATGAATGGATAAAAAAAATGTGGCACATATACACAATGGAATTTTACTCAGCAATAAAAGAGAATAAAATCATGGCATTTGCAGGTAAATGAATGGCATTGGAGAAGATAATGCTAAGTGAAGTTAGCCAATCCCCAAAAAATAAATGCCGAATGTTTTCTCTGATGTAAGGAGGCTGACTCATAGTGGGGTAGGAAGGGGGAGCATGAGAGGAATAGATGAATTCTAGATAGGGAAGAGGGGAGGAAGGGAAAGAAAGGGGGCAGGGGATTAGCAAGGATGGTGGAATGTGATAGACATCATTATCCAAAGTACATGTATATAGACTCGAATTGGGTGTAAACATACTTTATATACAAACAGAGATATGAAAAATTGTGCTCTATATGTGTAATAAGAATTGTAATGCATTCCACTGTCATGTATTTAAGAAAATAAAATCAATAAAACTAAAAAAAAAAAATGAAAAATAAACAACGCCACCTCTCAGAGAGTCAAGGCAGAGTCATCACCAATATGGAATTTTCTGAGAAGCTGGAAGGTCCTCTCCATACAAACACTTCTCTCCTAAATTCCATCTGATGGACATTTTAAATGCAGTGAGAAGGTCCCCATCACAGGACACTGTCTTCTCCAATGACAGTGATTCTTTGAGAAGAAAGGCCCCAACTTCCTCTATTCCCTCAGCACTAGAATTGACCCTGGCATTAAGAGAGCTCCATAAATGTGTACTGATTAAAGGAACACTCATTCCTTTAGATTTTTAAAAGAGTTTTAAATTTTAAATCCCTTATTATAATACAAACCCCTCTAGAAACTACCTGCTTAAGCCACTGAGAACACCTTAGCAGCAGTTAGTGAACAGTTAGCTGCATGAAGGATGAAGGATGGTGACAGCTTCTAACACATTCAACACCATCTGGTCCCACCATTGCACACCAGTACAATACCCATCTAGGCTGAAATAGTCTAAGGCAAACCCTGCCTGGAAAAAAAAAAAAAAGAACAAACTTCTTATTACAAATAAAAGTATATTTCTAAAATGTTTACCTTGCCTCATAAATGAAAGTGATTTTTCTTTTATATTATCTGTCAGTTGTTTCTTCTTTGTCAGATAATCCAAAATGTAGATATTTGGAGCGAAATTGATCATGTTCTGTTCACCGCAGCCATAAGGCATCCGAATCAGCGAGGCTAAGCCATTGATGGAAGGCCCAAGAACATCTCCTGAAAGCACAAGACATGCAATCCATTCAGTAGTCATTCACAGTTATCTGCGGATGGCAAGTCTTCCACTGAAAACAGAAGGTATTTGTCACTGAAGCAATTAGAACAGAGTGGAAGCTTTACATAAATTACCTGACAAGAAAAATAATAATGCAATGGTACTGAACTTGTAAATTAGATGATAAATTAGGAGACTTTTAGCTCAGTGAAATATGTGACATTCACAGTAACAAAAACAGCACATTGGCATAAAAATAAACACATAGACCAAGGAACAGAAAGAAGAGAGGACCCAGAACTAAATCCACACACCTTCAGGCAACTTATTCTCAACAATGGTGCCCAAAACATAACATTAACTGGAGAAAGGACATTCTCTTCTATAAATGGTGCTGGGCCAACTAGATATTCATATGCAGGATAGTGAAACTTGACACATTATTTCTCACCCTGTACAAATATCAGCTCATAATGAATCAAAGACCTTAATCTAAGATCTGAAACTATGAAACTACTAGAAGAAAACACAGAGGAAACACCATTGCAGGCAATGATTTCCTGAAGAGGACTCTAATCACTCCGGAAACAATGATATATGGGATAACATCAAATTTAAAAGCTTCTGCACTACTAAGTATACAATCAATAAAGTGAAGAGACAACCTACAGAGTGTGAGAAACTCATTATCATCTGTTCACCTGAAAGAGTTTTAAAATCCTGAATATAAAAAAAGCTCAAAACACTGAACAAAAAAAAAAAAATGAGTAATCCAATTTGTAAATGGGCAAATGACCTAAATAACCACTTCTTGAAAGAAGAAGTACAAGCAACTAGTAAATAAATGGAAACTGCTAATAAATATATGGAAAGAAATGATCAATATTTTTAGCCATCAGGAAAATGCATGTCAGAAGTACACTGAGATTAATTCTCACCCCAGTTAGAGTGGCTATTATCAAAAAGTAAACAAACAATTAAAAAACTAAATGATGGCAAGGATATGAAGAAAAAGGAACCCTTAATATGCCATTAGTGGAAATATAAATTAGTACAGCCATTATGGGAAATAATATGGACATTCCTCAAAAAAACTAAAAACAGAACTTCCATATGATTCAACTATCCCACTCCTGAGTATATATCCAGAAAAAATGAAGTCAGCATACAGAAGAGATACCTCCTTACCCATGTTTATTGCAGCACTTACCACAATAGCCAAAATATGGAATCAGCCTATTTATGTCAACAGATGAATGAATAAAGAAACTGATATATATAGATATATATATACACAAAAAAATGGAATATTATTCAGCTATAAAGAATGACATCATGCCATTTGCAGGAAAATGGATAAACATGTAAGGTCTTCATGTAAGCAAAATAAGGCAGATACAGAAAGACAGTATCACATGTTTTCTTTTGTATGTAGAAACTTAAAAAAAAAAAAAAAGCTTGAAAGTAAGAAGGACCTACTAAAGACTGAGAAGGGAACTGGGGGAAGGGAAATGAGAGGAAAGAGTGAGAGAATATATAAGGGAGGTTGGACATGATCAGTGCACAATATATGCATGTATGGAAATGTCACAGTGACTTATAAAATCATAAAGTTAACATGTTAATAAAATATGAAAAAAGTGACAAAAATTAGGCAAAAAATATTTCTTCTTTAAATCTTGAATAAAAATGTAAGAAATGGACCATGAGGACCCATCATTCTTAAACATGAACAAAATGTTTTATTATTAGTATTCTTCACATGAATAGAACTTTTTATTTCTTACTAACGTAATACAAATGCTTGGCAAATGTTATTTCTTAAAACAGGGGTGGTAGTGTTTTTCACTGTCCTCTATTTGGCAGCAACAAATTAGAAATAACAAGTATAAGTTTCCAATGACCTTTAGAATCAAAAAATATTGGGAATATTCTTCAAAGGTAGGAATCTAAAAATAAGACAAAATAGATACTTAACAGACTCTTCTACCCACATTCAAACACCCTTGGTAAATAAGTAAAAATTCAGATACAGCTTGAGTTTTTAATTTTGACCCCTACTGTTGTTAGCTGTATGAAGAAGAGTATTTGTCTATGTAATTTACTTTGAAAACTTACACCATGCCAAGTTCAAATAACTAGTGAAAATCTGATCCTAAAAAAAATGAATACAAAAAAAGAGATCTCTTTCATATGAACAAGATGCAGGCATGCCAAAATGTCTTAAGCTTTAGATGTTAACACAAAAAAAATACAGTTCTTATTATTACCCCTGAAAAGTTACATTTTTAATATTCAAAATGAACATAAATTTGCAATTTCAAAATCCAAAGTAACAAGCTAGAATTCATACATTTTGGACCTCAAAGTGTTTTTTTTTAATCATATAAAAATAATACTTGAAAATCCACTCTTTGCATTCAGCAAAAAAAGTTAAACCTCTGAGTATTTTTGTGACCCTAGATAGGACAAACTCATTCCTATTTAGAGAGTGGTAGTATACATTTAAAATTCAGGGATTCTGGGCTGGAATTGTAGCTTAGTGGTAGAGTGCTTGCCATGTGCATTGAAGGCACTGGGTTCAATCCTTATCACTACATAAAAATAAAATAAAGGTATTGTGTCCATCTACAACTAACAAGAATATTTTTTTTAATTCAGGGATTCTTCTATATGTGCATATGCAGATGTATACTGTACCTGCACTGTATTTCTTCTGCATCTCCCAAAATACCAACACTGTGAGAGAAGCATAGGCAGAATGTTCTTAAACAGAGAACTTCTTTCATTCTTTTAAAGAATTATATCTCAGGCTTCAAATAAAGTCCTCTGAACTGTGATTAGTTCTTTGTGCTTACAAACATTACACCTGCAGGTAAGATTTTTTAAAAAGTCTGAAGGCCTGACATCCTGGTGTCTTAAAGGCCTAACAAACTATTTAGATGTCTTTAATTAATACATTTTCTACAGTTATTTGTAAAATATAATTTATAAGAGTATTCATCTATGTCATTTAGAAGGACCTATTAGATGTGGTAGTTAATTTTATGTGTCAACTTGAGTAGGACAGGTGTGCCCTGACTAAACATTGTTCCTGGGTGTACCTGGTGAGGGTGTTTCTGGATGAGATTAATGTGAGATTTTGTTTCTCGAGAGAACCCTAAGACACCAGTGTGCAAAGGTTATGTTTGATTCTAAAGTATTTTAGATTGCAAGGCACTTAAGTTACTAAGAGACATAACTAGAGTCAGTGCATAGTTTCTTATCCTCAAGGTAACCTGTGTCCTGCAGAGAACTAACTGCTCTAGGCAGTAGCTTCCATCTCTTGGTTATTGCAATCACTGTACCCGCCTTACCCATAGCCCAAGAAATTCTACTATAGTTGGTTCAGAGTAAAGCACAGATATCTGTGTCTTTACCAAGCTTCACAGAAGATTCTGATACTCCCCAGTGGTCAAGAGGTAAGAAGCTGTGCTTTTAGGAACAACCCTTTCGTCCAACCACAGCAGGGTAGCACCTTGCTATTCATGGTGTGATATGCCAGAAGCTTCACGATAATATACCTGGGAGCTGATTAGAAACGTAAAATCCCAGCTCCCACCAAGAGGGCTTTCAAAAAGATCCCCAGTTGATTCATATGCACATAAGACTGAGAAGAACTATTCTAGGATGCATAATTTGCTAACCTTTCTAATATAATCATCAGTTGGGACCAATTAAAAATTCTCATAATAAGAAAATACATGTATAAATAAATGAATAATATATATTATTATACACAAATTAATCAGTAGAGGGGAATATATTCTTACCAACAGCAGTGATCTGAATTCTTTCGCTGCCACTGACCGTATCAGGAGGAAATGAGAAACTGAAAGATTTCATGGTAGTTTGCAGTTTGTTGTCAGTCAAGTCTAGTAGGATGGACTGTGAATATGATTTTTCTATTCCTTCAGCCTATTGAAAAAAAAGGAACACAATTAATATGGTCTCTGCACATCTATTTACAGAGAACTATATGCAGATATGAACACAAACATCAGGCCTGTTGTTCCATAGTTTCTGTACAGCTAGATAATTATCATTTCTTAATTCTGACTTCAAATCTGTTAAGTGTTTACCTTCTAATTGAATTAGAAAAAAGTTTCACAGAGTGTGGTAGAAACAACCAAGGTAAAATGTGATGAGAAAAAAAAATGTATAGGGTAGGTTCTATTTATTATCGAAAGAGAGGGAGTAAATATTTCATCCAAAATCACATTCAGCAGGGCAGAGATACAAAATGAGGGCTCTCTCACCCCAGAATCTAAATGCACATGTGCTATGCTGACTTGTCTTTTTCTGCAGAATGTCTTCTAAGACAGTCTACAGAATATCTTCTACAGGCACTGAGAATTCCAAAATTTCAAATCTACTTATCAATCTGACCATGATTTAATAGGATCCCAATGTAACAAAGACTAAAGATGTAAATGACTATAAAAGAGACTTTGTGATCTTGAAACTCACTGTCCTGATTAAATTTAAAGAGTATGCTGGCAATTATTTCTAAGCATATATGTTATATTTTTACATAGAGATGAGAAAATAACTGGGCATTATCAGGAGGATTGAGGAAAAGATGTACTATATTTGCCAACAAACTTAACTAAAAGAAAAATCATCTTCTTTGTCCTTTCCAATTCCACATACATATTTTCATTTATTTTGGACTCCAAATATTTACCTTTACTAAAATCCTCTGGGTGATAGCATCAGAAGCAGTGGGTGAAATAGCCATGACTGTGATAGGAATTTCTCCCAGATGTGTTGGCCTGACAGGAAAAACAACAGTTGCCCCATCCTCACTGGGAACCAGAATGGTCTCCTGGTGTCCCGTGGCATTGATTTCATTCGAAGTCAATAGAATATCATATCCATCACTTTTCTTAATGATTACCTTAACCTGGAAGAAAAAAATACCTGTGGTTTTGTATAATAAGTGCTCTTTAGCAAAGTGTATTACCACCACCATAAGTGCTGTTACAACTTGCAGCTCAAAACAAGAGAAAGATGAGGCAAAAATTCAGCCAATGAGAGAATGAAAAGGAAAATCCTCATTCATTTCATATGCTTTCCTTTCTACCTCAAGATATTTGAGGAAAAGGCACTCTTCACCTCCATTTCTAGTCCTATCCCTTACATTAAATTCTGTCATTATGCAAAGCCATTGAATGATAAGGCTATACACAGAACCTGATGTAGGTACCACCTGCAGCCTGATTTAACTGTGTCGTTCCATCAGAAAACAATGAGACAAACAAGATGAGATGCTATTACATCCATTGAGAATCTCTGTGAAAGTTATTCCAAGGAAAGTGTGACTCAGAAATCAATCCTAAAGTGTATCTTGGTTATAAACTTTTGTAAATTATGCCAAAGTTGCTAGTCGCATCAAGAATAGCATTTCTCTAAGCCTTATATTTTACAGATTGTTTTCTAATCTATTTTCTCAACTGCTTTTCAAAATACTTTTGTGTAGATAATAGTTATGATTCCCATTTTATAGATGAGGAAACTACAATTAAGTTATTTGCTAGTACGTGGCAGACTGGACATTGAGCCTTCTGACTGCAAATCTTTTGTTACACTGTACCATGCTGACTACATTAAAAAAAATATAATTAAAAATTTTAAAGACTCACTAGTAGAGTGTGTGCTTAACATGAACAAAGCTCTGGGTTTAATCTCAGCACCAAAAGTAGTAGTAGTAATTATAATAATAATATTAAACATTTTATTCTATAGATATAGTATTTTTAAAAGTATGTCATTTCCAGCCAGGCGTGGTGGCGCATGACTGTAATGCCAGCGGCTCACAAGGCTGAAGCAAGAGGATTGCAAATTCAAAGTCAGCCTTAGCAACTTAGCAAGGCCCTAAGCAATGTAGCAAGACCCTATCTTTAAATAAATAAAATATTTAAAAGGGCTGGGGATGTGGCTCAGTGGTTAAAGACCTCTGGGTTCAATCCCCAGTACCCAAAAAAATAAAAAAATATCTTTCCATACAATAAAGTTAATTGCATATCCCAAATTACTCTGGGGGAAAATATCAACCATTTGGTTAACACTACTGTGGGCACAGTACAAGCAATGGCCCTCATCCAGGCCTTCCAAGGAACTGACTAGCTAAGGAGACACAAAGCACATGACTCAAAAAATAAATCCTTGAAAGTGTAATATACTGTATAACTATGGGGACTGTAAACACAGCAGATCAGGTTAGATTCCTCAGGAAAGGCATCTTGGTTCCAAGCCAAGTCCTGAAGGGGATAAATTTGCCAAATGCACTGGGCACAGAACGTCAGTGAGATGTGACAACACATTCTAGATGTGGGAGACCAGGGAGAAACATGGGTGGGGGGTAGACAGGAGAGAGAAAGGCATGCCTCCAAGACCATAAGGAAGGACTGTGGATGAAGGGGAGAACCTGTGCTGGGAATCCAGGAGGAAATGCACAGACCTGCTAATGATTCCCTAGACGTTACTACAGAAGAAACAACTAACTAAGTACATCCATATTAATCTCCCAGAAAGGTACAGCATGCCTAGAAGCACAGATGTGCAAACACTACCCATGCTAATCCACATGTTTTCTCCTGAAACATAAACAAGCAACAAAACCTTAAACACATTACCTCAGTGGCCTCTTTCAAATAATTGAATATGGTTACTTCCAAAGCAAATTCTTCACCTCTGATAACAGAGTAGGGAAGATTCAAAAAAATGAAAAATGGTTGGAAGGCTTGTAGCTGGAAAGAACACAGTGAGTATATATTTTTATTCAGGTCAAATGCTTCACACTATATACAATTAAAAACAATCCTCACAAAGCCTGTGAAATTTACAAGTCCTCTTAGAATTGTCCGCTTTCTTACCAACAGAAGGCAAATAACAACTTTTCCCAAATAAATTATATCAAATTGTCTTGATTTGTGTTATTCAACATAATTAATCCTACATTTTATTAAATGCCTAAGAGGAATAAGGCACTTCACAAATTATTCCACTTAATCATTATAAATCTATAAAGACTCTATGCTCCTATTAAATAGCAAAGTAACGTTCATGGAATCTGTCACTAGTAGAACCTCAAGTTGGAGGCAAGTAGAGAAACCAGAAGCAAGTTGCTGTCTAATACTGAAGCAAGTTGCTCTTATTTTATGTTATATTGACTCCATCATCTGCTTTGAAAGCCATTACCCAAATCAACAGTCTCTGTTTTAGACTAGTGTGGTAAACCTCAACACAGCCGGCCTGGTTACAGTTTACTTCTACACACACATCCATGTGTGCTTCCTCCAGGTGGTCCAACTCTGAAAATGTTGGCTAAGTCCTGCAGGGGAGGCTGAGCCCCTCCCCTGCCTCTGAGGTTTAGTTTAAGCCACGATCACACTGGCAACAGTAACTCCTTCTAGAGGTTTCTTTGGACATTTGTGAAGGTGTCTTAGGTCATCATAATGATTGGAGGATGCTACTGGCACTTAGTGGGTGAAGGTCTGCAATATTCAGGACCGACCCAAACAATGAAGGACTGTTTCATATTCCTCAGGACTCTTGAATGTTTCTTTAGATATTCACATAGCTAAAGTACCTATTTAAAATGGCCTAAGCTTACTACATAATTCCAATTTAAATATGACGACACTAAATTTTTCTGAATACAACTATTTTGTAAGAGAAGAATGCATTTTGGTTTGTTTGTAACTTTACCAAAAGTTGTTCACCATTTCAGAAATTTACAGGCAGCACCACTCAAGGATTTTGAGTTGCTGAAACAATACATGTACATCAAAACAAGCCTGTAGATTGCACACAGGGTGATTCCAGGCATGGCATAAGCATTTAAAATTTCGCTATATCTTTAGTGCAACAATGCCTGATCATGAACATATTGAAATATATATCATGTTATCATGTGTTACTTTATTTTTATTTCTCTTAGTATCTCACTTAAGGCATCATGTTAACTTTTTTGAAATTGTATACATAGGTATGTTATGCTTTCTCCTAATTTCATTTTGGGATGCTAAAGAGGCAAAATAAATATGTTATAAAGAATAACAGAAGTGAGGGGCTGGGGTTGTAACTCAGTGGTAGAGTGCTTGCCTCACATGTGTGAGGCACTGGGCTTGATTCTCAGCACCGCATATAAATAAATGAATAAAATAAAGGTCCATTAACATCTAAAAAGAATTAAAAAGAAAAAGAATAACAGAAGCAAGAAGTATTGGTCTTTGGCCATTCATAGTCATGTTATTCCTCTTAGTAACTAGAAACGAGATGTGATGGCATATCTACTAGGGGACATCTTGAGAAGTTGTACTCATCCATGAAGGACACATGGAAATTCTCTCTCCTCTCTCTGTTCTGGCCATTGGAAGTTGTTAGAGCACATCCATAATAAACTTTTCTATCCTAATCTTAATATGGACACTTACCACTTAACACTCTAATATAGCTCTCTTTCTAAAATTTAAAACAGATGAAAAGCAGAAAGGAAAAATCAAAAAAATCTCTAAACTATGATAAACATTATAAGCAATCATTTTTTAAAAATCTGTTGAGTAGCTGGAACTTCCTTAGCTTCATGGTACTGTAACAGTAATAAGCAGCCCATCCATAGGTTACCTCCACTGGGGCAGTCGTTAATCCAAGACCTAAGTCTTCGGATATCACAAAAGCAGTAGCCACCCAAGAAGTGATAGAGTCAGGTACTGTAACTTCAAATTCCTGGTAAATCTTGGATCTGAAATCAAGACAAACATAGAAATCACAAAACCAAGAGCTGACATATTTCAAAATAAGTCAACAACTATTTTTGGAAGAATTTTAATTTTATATATCACTTATATATCTAAATTTAAAACCATTTAGCATAAAAAAAGCAGATCCCAAGTTCTCAAAAAAGAGGTCATAATATTTCATACTAATTCAAATTCCAATAAATTCTTTCTATAATATTTATATCTTCAGAATTACCACTATACTTTCATAAATTTTATATAAAGAATAAATACATATTTTCAAACTCCAATTTTTTCTCAGTTTGAAGAAGAGTTACTTTTCTATATCCCTATAAATACTGTTATTTATTTTTTTCTGAGATTATTTAGAGTATTCCTAAATAGCTATCTATATATTACTGTGTAGAACACAATTTATCTCATCAGGTAGCACAGTGTTTAGCAGTGAAGCTGAATTCCTTCCACCCCCCATGTCCCTCCTTCCCCTGAGGATGTTTTATGAGTATCAGTAGCAGCACTGCCAGTGGTCCAGGAGGTGATCACTAGTGCTTCTCACCTAATGGCAACAAATGTATGTCCAGCAATTTTTCTCCAGTGAGAATTATGAGACTTCAAAGTTAAAATCACACTTCATTAGGGGATTAAAAATAAAAAGACCTATCATCTTCTTGTTAATAATCTCCTGCCATAATTTCCATGTGGCTTTATTAAATACTACAGTTAGATTTGATGAACATCCTAAAACAAAATCCTCTTGGTCTACTTAGTTCTTCATCAACTATGTACTATACCCTCTAGAAAAAGAGCAAACCTTATTTAAAACATATACTAAGTGAAATATGTGTGAACAAAGAACTTTATAAATGTTTACCCCATATCAGTGTCTAGCCAAATCCAAGTCTCTGGAAAATGCTTTCTTACACGTGGGTTGCTAAATGAAGAAAAATCATTAATATCTACTGGATACCCCTGGGTTTCCTCCACAAACATCTCAGCATACTCCGCAGTATCATCTAAAAACAAATATTGATAGTGGTTAGAAAAACAGTCATGGGAGAAAATGAATTGTAAACTTGGTGCATGGACTCATAGCCCCTCTCTGCTGCAGGAGATCTTAGTCTGTCTTGTCCAACCCTCTCATTTTCTCAGATGAGAAATCTGATAGGCAGAGAAGTCAAATGATTTACCAAACACCACATGGACAGTGACCTCAGAGCCAGAAATAATTTTTTTAAACTGTTTCCTGTCCCTAATGACCAATAATAATAAAAAAAATACTTACAGTTCAAATGCTTAAATTTTTAACTTGATTTTTTTAAGTATTTAAAAGTATCATTTTAAAGCCATTTATAACTTTTATACTCCTCTCTTTCTACCTCCTTAGTGCTGACAATAAAATAAAGACTATAGCAGGCGTTGGGCAGGATTTGATAAGTAGAGATGAAAAAAGATGCATAAAAACAGAGACTGTAAAATGGATAAAGACAGATTCTTGGAAGGCTCGTAGGATAGAGAATTGTATGAGAAAAATTAAGTGTAGCACATGTTTTTAATAAATAAATATCATAAAAAGTCATAAATCTTTAAAACTATGAAATATTTTTTAAGTTTCAGAACAGAGGCACAAGGTGTGACAAGAACCAACGGAAAGCCAGATAGCCTGGGGCTGAGTGCAGAGTAACTGAGAACACCTGACAGGGAATTCAGACAGAGGAACTGTGATAGTTCTGGAACACTTTCAAAATGATATTAGTAAATTTTACCTGAAAAAAAGAGGGAATAGCTCCTACAGTTAACCACCCATACATTTCCTCCAATCAAAATATTTTATGATTTCTTTGTAAGAGTATACACTTTTTTTATTTTTCAGTGGTCAACTCCACGGATGAAGTGTGTGTGTGTGTGTGTGTGTGTGTGTGAGAGAGAGAGAGAGAGAGAGAGAGAGAGAGAATCTACTTTTGGCATCTGGGCTATTTCTGAGTGAACATCAAAAAGCTAGAAAACACAAATGTTTCAAAACATTTGTGTTTCTTCTTTGAAGTAGTTCCAAAATAATAGCACAGCTTTCAATACAAATTGGAACCAATATGTTCAAAATATAACCACCTCAAAGGATTACACAAAACAAATGAAAAGCACACATTTCAAAGACAGGAGCTCAGAAGAACATTTTATGTCATGGCCCAGATGTACTTCCAAGTATGTTAAATTCCAAACATTTTAAGATACAATATTCATGTTCAACCAGAAAATATCCATACCTGTATAAAGTAATACTAAATGTCTGATGTAAAAGACAAATATCTTGCAAGCATACTGCCAGTTTTTACTTACAAACAATATCAACATAATCCTTCACAAGGTTTGCATCCGTCAATACCCAGAGACCACATTCCTAGAAAAAATAATTTTAATTTTCTTTTAAAATAACCATTTAGATGTTCTCTAATCACAGAAGTCTCCAACACTCTAGATTCACTCTTGCCCATTCTTGAGAGCTTAGATACATAGTTTCTCTCTCTCTCTCTCTCTCTCTCTCTCTCTCTCTCTCTCTTATATGCATGAACAGCCATTTCAAAGTCAAAGAAAGTAATATGAAGGAAATAAACTATTTGTTTAGTGATAATTCCATTTCTCTCTCTAATGGTGAATTTTTCCATTTACTTTTAAAACTGAAAGGATGATTATCTTTCCATCTCCAATTATACTTATGTAATAGTGCACTTTAGTGACACATATAATAAAAGGTTAACATTTCACAATGATCATTAATTCTGATAGTGTTTGATATAGTAAAAGATACTATGGTCTTCAAATTATAGAACAAATCTAATACTTTCTTTTTTTTCTTTTGCGGTGCTGGGGATTGAACCCAGGGCCTTGTGCATGCGAGGCAAGCTCTCTACCAACTGAGCTACATCCCCAGCCCCCCAAATTATAGATAAAACTGAACATACCTTAAAGACAGCAAAAGAATTCATAAACATGCCTAAATAATATCCTGTGTTATAAAGTTCCAAGTCATGGACCACCTACAAAGAAGATAAAATACACAGAATGATTAGTTTCATATCAATACTTTCTGTCTTCCACATTATTTCTTATAAGTAACTTAGATTAGTCATAGCCCCCAGGCTTATTAAACTTGAAAATGATTCAAATCAAGGAGTAATGAATATGTGAATGTTCTGCTCATGATTCAATTGGTTGGAATTATAGTTCTTCCAACCAATTTCAATAAACTTATTTTTATTCTGCTTAGCAATCCAGAACTCCTTCGAGTGCAAAACTGAGTTTTGCCCAGAAGGAACTTAAATGTCATTGTTTGACAGATCAACATATAAAGGTCAGCATTAAAAATTATCTGGCAGAGATATTTAAACTGGATGGCAATTAATATATCTATAAAATATCATTTACCTAATTTTTTCAATAACCTAAGCAGACAATTCAGAAAAGAGGAAATATAAATTATTAATAGGAAGAAAAAATATTCAACCTCATTGATGATCAAAACAATACAAATTATACCAATAAGATAATATTTCCAAATTATACCAATAATAATAACATTAGAAATATTATTATTTTTTAAGAATAGTACTCATTGCTAACAAGAATAGATAAATAGGCTAAAAGAGTGAGGAAAACTCTCATTCTTTTTCCTCAAAAAGTTAAATATATAATTTAGAATATGACTCAGCAGTTCCACTCGTAGATGCATACTAAAAAGAACCAAAAGCAAACACTCAGGGATACTTCTATACAATGTTCATTACAGCATTACTCACAATGGCCAAAAGGTAGAAGTAATAAGTAAATGTCTAGAATAAATAAATAGGTAAACCAATCAAATTCATAAAAGACAGAAGTGGATTAGAGGTTGCCAGGGGTCAGGGCCAGGGGAAAATGGGGAATTACTGCCTGAATTTTACAGCATCTCTGGAGCAATGAAAGTTTTGGAAATACTAATGTGGTTATACAACTTTGCAAAGAAATTAATGCCACTGAATTGTACGTTAAAATGGTAAAAGTGGCAAATTTTATGGTATACATGTTTTACTATAATAACAAAATTAAAGTATTATATATTTTTAGGTCAGTTTTGATACTTCTCCCTATTTACGTTAGCATTGACCAAGACAAACTGAGATAAAGGTAAAAACCATGAAAGAATCTAAGTTGAAAAAACTCATTCTAGGATAGAGTTAAACACTTGCAACCTCTGTTTCAGCTAATAACCATGGTTACATCCACATTAAGCAAACATGATGATCTGGCACTGTGTTAGTTTTTTGTGTCTGTGACTGAAATTCCTGACAAGAACAATTTAGAGGAGAAAAAGTTTATTCTGAGCTCACAGTTTCAGAGGTTCAGTCCGTGGTCAGCCGACTTCATTGCTGTGGGCCAAAGGTGAAGCAAAGCATCATGGGGAAGAGCATGGCAGAAGAATGCAGCTTAAGACATGGTGGCCAGGAAGCAAAGAGGGAGAGAAGGAGGATTCAGGAGGACAAGCTATAACCCCCAATGCATGCCCCTAGTGACCCACCTCTTCCAGCCATGACCCACCTGGCTACAGTTACCACCTAGGATGGTAATCCTTTCAAAGTATTAACCCATTAAGTTACTGGGTCACAACTCTCATAACCTAATTTTTTCACCTCTGAACATTCCTACATTAACACAGTAACATTTAGGGGACACTTTCAATCCAAACCATAACAGGCACCAATAAGAAAACAATCAAATGAGAAAACAAAAAGTTTCATCATGTCTCAAAAAGCTAGCAAATGTAGTTAGGCCAACTATAGACAACGGAGCCAGAGTCAGACATAATGAGAGAAAAGGTTTTAATTTCATGACTATAGCTCTGCCACAAAATACAAATACTTGAAGATCTGCTTTTGCTCTCACTCAAGTAGGAACAGATGTTAACTAATCAAGAATCAGCATGTATCTCATAAAGCAATCCTCCTTTTCTCACTGCCTCAATAAAAAGCACTGCAAAGCTGCAGCACAAGCTAACAATGGGAAGGCTAATGCCTAAGAATTGTTCCTGGAAGATCTAGTACAATTGAAGTTACTCTAAACACTCAACAAGAAACAGGGAAACCAGGACAGACTGGTATCACAGGCTCCTAACTCCCACCTTCAGAGTCAACTCTGGAGAAATAATAAAAGCAAACAGAAAATTTGGATGAGTGAGATACGAAAATCCCCAAAAGAGTGGAGGATATCTTGAACTGGTGCTGGAAGGAAGCAAATGGCTTCAGTCTGAGGCAGAAGATAACTAAAGGGTAACTAGGAGACAGGATGGAGGAAAGTTTTTATAATTCTGCTGTTGCTTCTTTCCAGGAGATATCATCAGGAAAATCATTCTTTTCAATTTCCCTGTCAAGATCAACAGCTAACTGCCCTTGTAGATGCCCCAAAGATAATAGCAGGTGGGCATTTCTGATGTGAGAAAAACATGGCCAGACCCTCCTCCCCAACTCTTCCAAACCCTCAGAGCTTGGATCATAATCTCTTCCTAGTGCTTCATTTCCCTAAGAGTTTAAGTGAAACTCTGAATAGAAGCACGTAGCAAAAATAAAGGAACAAGAGTAATGAGTTTCAACCCATTCTTTATCTTTAAAATCTCAGGACCTACACCAAAAATTGGAGCCTGGTATTCAGTTTTCCCCCAATAGATGTTATCAGAGGAGAGAGACACCCAAAGGTTATAACTACCAAAGAAAAATATCCAACTGGACAACATATGGCATGTGAAGCATAATTGTTGAAAAAAATCAACTCAAGAATTTAAAATAAGCCTAGTAAACATGTATAAAGAGATATAAGAGAAATATTAGCAATATGAAAAAGGAAAAAGCCAGGTGCAGTGGCACACACCTATAATCCCAATGGCTATGGAGGCTGAGGCAGGAAGATCACAAATTCAAAGCCAGACTCAGCAACTTAGTGAGGCCCTAAGCAACTCAGTGAGACCCTGTCTCTAAATAATGTACAAAAAGGGGCTGGGACGTTGCTCAGTAGTTAATCACCTCTGGGCTCAATCCCTGTTACCAAGAAAAAGAAAAAAGGTACTAAAAATATATGAAATGAAAATCAGGTACTAAAAATATAACAGCTAACAAAATAAAAATAAATTAAGAACAAAAATGAAAATCACAGCCAGCATAAAGGAAAAAATAAAATTTATCAAAGTAGGATAGACAAGGTGATAAATAATCTTAGAGCTGTAAGAATCAATGGAAGAACTCTCAGAGAACTACAGAAAAAGAGACAGAAAACATGAAACAAAAAATGGAGAGATACAAAGGATAAAAGTAGAAATGCCAAATTTCTGAATAATAGGAGTCCCAGAAAGAGATAAAAAATAAAATGGGAAGAAAAAAAGAGTGAATACAAATTTGCAGAATTAAAAACTGAAAAAAAAGAACATAGAGGGCAATCCATAATAATGCAGAATTAAACGACACCATCATCTGGTCAGGGTAGAGGAGGAGAAGGAAATGCCATGGAGACAAAAAGGATATGAGAATGAAGGGAAGGGGAGGAATGGGAACAGGAAAGACAGTAAATGAATCGGACATCACTTTCCTATGTTCATATATGAATATACCACCAGTGAAACTCCACATCATGTACAACCACAAGTTGGGATCCTAATTAGAATGTATAATGTGTCAAAATACACTCTGTCATGTATAGCTAAAAAGAACAAATTTTTTAAAAAAGAAAAAAAGTGTATAATTTTTAAAAAGCTAAACTCACATTTTCCATTGTAATATCATTTGAGGCATTCATCAGATTCACACTTTTGTCAACAGCTACAATCCCAACTACTGAGTCCGGCTGTGTTACAGAGACCCTGAGAGAGACTTTCTCAGAAGGCTCAGCATTAGCTTTGCTCCAAAACAGCTTTATCTAAGAAAGGGATAAAATAGGATTGATTGATTTCACTTTTTAAAAATCATTACTTACATACTCTACCAATAACAGATCAACGACTCAAAATCTAAAAATTTCTTTATTTGCCTTGGTCCAGGGATAATTCTAAAACCATACATAAGAAAATAACAAAAAGAAAAAAAAAAAGAAAACTATTCCCTCATACTTGCAAGTCAACTTCTCACAGTGGTTATAAATCTGAATTATCCTTCCCATCTCTCTTCCCTGTCTCTCTCCCTCTCCCATTCTTCATCCCCCAGCCAATGCTTGACATAAGACAGCAGTGTCTAGTACACCTGGAAAGGACAACATCCTAGAGGGGCACACAAAAGAGGAAAGAAACCTAAAGTACCTATGTGTAGGTGACCTGGACTTGGGAATAAACACAGAGAGCTCCCAGAGGACGCACAGAACTAGCTGGGCTGTGAGATATGGGGGTTCTGTCCAAGACCTTTGTGTCCTATGTCTCCATGGCTACCTGAACTTCTTGTCATTATACACAACGAAATGTGGTCCTACTACTTCTTAGAAACTGTCAGTCATTGCATGACTGCTGAACAGAAGGGCTTTGTCATGAGGCCCCTTCCCACTGGGGACTCTCATTTCATCTAGCATCTCTACATTCCCCTGTATCAATGATGGCACCATTTGTCCAAGGTGGCCTTAATGCCACCCTAGGCTTCATTAAACTTTGGATAGGCTTCTTCCTGACTGTAGCCCCCAACATTCCTTTCCTTAGAACATTTGCTTTAGACAACTGGCAATTCAAAGTCTTTCTCTGACTCTTTAAAATGTAAATATCCTGGTGGGAGCCATCCTCTCAAAGTGTAATCATAAAGAAAGGCAGAGTCCCAGCTATTTTCTTAGTCTAAATGGGAAAGTGGGAGCCAACTTCAATAACTGCCGATTAGCAAAAACTGAGGGTCTAAACACTTACCAATATCCCCACAACAACCTCCAGTACTTTTATTTTAATTCACCCAATGCTTTAACACTCTCCTGCGTTTTATTTCAATAGACTTGAATTCAATCTCTAGTCCATTGTAGAGTCTTGAGTTAAAGTATTCCCCTCCTGCCTATCTGATCTGGTGCAATACACTCCTCAAGCCATCATATCTAGTTTACTTTCTTCACCTACACTCTAAAAGAGAGAGGGGTTATAGGGTAGGAAGTAGTGTATTCTAAGCTGTCTTAGACCTTGTAGTTCACTCTATTCTCTGAACCTCAGACACCCCATGGCTTCAACTTACACTTCCATGTGGATAATTTCTAAACCTACATCTTCTTATCCCTTTCTGTATCTCATTCATTCATTCCATTGTCATCGTTGAACATCAACAAAGATTCACAAATTTTCTCCTAAACACTTTCTATTATGATTCATGCAGTTTCTGCATAGTGCAATAATTGTTGCATAAAAGTTTAAGATATATCTTTGCAAATGGAACTGAAACTAATTTCCTATCCCATATGTCTAAGAAATTTCTTGAAATATGCTATCAATACACTCTGCTTCCTCAACGTCCATGATCCTGTACACTGTTACTACTTTTAGAGCTCGATCTCACTTTCAGAAATGTGTCTCCTTGGTTAAGCCTCCATGACTCCTACTTTAAAATTCATTTTTGTCAAGTGACTACTATTACTAGAAGTAAAAATTGGGCTCTGAAGTTAACAAAATATAGTCTTTTCTTTCTTTTTTTTTTTTTTTTTTTGTAGTTGCATGACTTTTTTTTAATGTGCTAATTTTGTATGCAGTGCTAAGAATCTAACTCAGTGCCTCATATGTGCTAGGCAAGCACTCTGCCATGAGCCCCAGCCACAACCTCTTTTTTTAACAATTTTTAATATGTAGTTGGACACAATACCTTTATTTTATTTATTTGTTTTTATGTGGTGCTGAGGATCGAACCCAGGGCCTCGCACATGCTAGGTGAGTGCTCTACCATTGAGCCACACCCCCAACCCCTGTGTTTTCTTTCTTAAAAAAGAAAAATATCTCGTGTCTTTTCATCAGACAAAAGTAGAAGTTTATATTCTGATAATCAAAGTTAGGGTTAACAATCTCAACAAAAGAAAGCATGGAAGAACCATACTCTGTAAACCACTGCTTTAAAACAATGAGGACTAGAAAGACAGTAATTTTTAGTAAACTATGGCTGATCCATGTGAGATGATTCAATCATGTTTTTTTTCAGTTAGGGGCCAAGGCAGCTTTCTACACAAGCTGATTACTCAGGCTATAAAAAGCACTGATGCATCTGGAGGCCAGGCTTCACACAGGTCCTCATGTGCAAGGTGACCAAGTATATTAAAAAAATCTGTCCCAGGTTAGTTTCCAGCTGATGTAATAGATAAACCAAGCCCAGGTCTGCTTCTTAAATTCATTGCAGATGGCCTCACTTCCTCACTCCATGGCAATGTCAAACCACACAAATATTACGGTGCCACTGAACTTCACAACCGAGCAACATCAACTCAACTATTTGAAAAGTTCTGAATGGTTTCATGTTTTTAAGTTGAAGTCTTACAGCCAAGAACATTGTGTCACAAATAAGACCCATACAGCCAAACAATTCCACATGCAAAAACACATATGTAGGGGCTGGAGTTGTGCCTCAGTGGTAGAGTGCTCACCTAGCACAGGTGAGTCACTGGGTTCGATCCTCAGCAACCCATAAAAATAAAGGCATTATGGGGGGGCTGGGGTTGTGGCTCAGTGGTAGAGCACTTGTGTGAGATGCTGGGTTCGATCCTCAGCACCACATAAAAATAAATAAAATAAAGGTATTGTGTCCAACTACAACTAAAAAAAATTTTTTTTAATAAAGGCATTATGTTCACCTATAACTAAAAAAATTTTTTTAAATACATACATAGTAATTAAATACAGAAGAGGCTTTACCATAGTTTTAAAGGGAATAATATATCCTCCCAACCAATTCAGCTTAGTGATACTTTTCTAAAGAAATAGTATATGTCTCAGACTTCACTAATATAAGGTTTTCTTTTAAATATTATTATCTAAATCTTACCTTATTTTTAAAAATAAGCTGAACAGGAATTTTTAAGACATCATTTATAATTTCTCCATCATCTTCAACATAATACACAATTATACAAGCCTTTGGTGCCCAAGAACTTTCTGGTATTAAAGAGAAGGTTGTTGTATTTTGTTTGCCTACAGCCACCAACTGTCCCTTGGATATTACCTGAAAAAAATAATAGATAAATTTAATTTTTGGCTAAAGCTAGTAAGGAGCTCAATTGAAGTTATATTTATCATAATTTTAAGCAAATCCATAAATCTTGACTTAAACCAGTCTTGACACCTTTTCAAATACAAGAAAACCTACTTGACAGATAATATAACCTAAGAAATAGAAATTGAAGATTAAAACAATGCTGATTGGAGTAACAGCTTTGTAGTCAAAAATCAACATTTTTAATTCTCAATTTATTGGCATTTTCATTTTTATTTGTCACGTAACATTTGTGCATACTTGTGGGTCATGGTATGATATTCAATACAGCATGTAATGATCAGATTAAGGTAACTGGCATATCTATCCCCTCAAACAATTATCATTTCTTCATCTTGGTAAAGAATCTATTTTTGATTGGAGAAATACAGGACTCCACTGGGAAAGTTGGATTTAAAATATTAAAAGCCATCATGCCAATTTTTATTTTCTCTTATATTTTACAAATTTCTACCCAAGGATGTATATTATTAATCTAATAGAAATGTGAATTTTAAACACAGTGCTAAAATTAATCGTCCATTTTACATTAGAAATGCAAACACAGATGAAAAAATTTTTAAAAATATTTTGATTGCAATATAAAAGGGACAGCCTAATTTTAAAATAAATTCAGTGTAGACATAATATAGATACCATTTAAGATAATTATATAATAAATCATAAATTATAATAATATAATATATATAATTATAATAATTATATAATAAATCATAAATTTAAATTCATAAATCATAAATTTAAATTACCATATAGCTAAATTCCTTCAATTGCTTGTTGCCATTGACCACCAATTCAAAAGGTGATCCCACCTTAAAAAAAAAAAAAAAACTCAGTTAATATGCACATATCAATGGCAAGAGAGTCCAATTGTACTGTAATTATCAGGTAAATTATACATATTACCTTTATATTTTCATCTCTTGCTTTTAGCTGGATGTATGTCTTACTGGGAGATGTAAACATGCCATGAACTGCCATGCTACTTACACTAGCAAGAAAATAAGCCTAGAGCAAAACAAAGAAAGCCATAAATTTTCACCTTGAGTAACCTTGAGAAAAGATGCTGTCTGATGAATAATTACTAAAAGCCAAATTCACTTTCTTTTTTTTGAGCAGTAAAAATACATTTACCAGATACTCATCTTCATCATTTTATAGCTATACCATCAAGAATCTGCCAATTTGAAAAACACAGAGTCTTTACTATAATAACCTGGGCTGGGGTGGGGGGTGTCACAGCTCTTTTTCAGAAACAAAATTTATTTTATCAAGAAACATTCTGATAATGAAATAGAAAAGGAACCCTTTCCTTTTCCACAACACACAGCTCACAAACACCTCACTCAATCCACCAAGGTTCAGAGTGAAAATCAAAGAAGACTCTGTGGAGCACCCTGCTCAGCCAGGGCCCTGAATGGAGCAGGACAGAGTAATCAGAAGGCAGGCAACAGGGATGGCTGAGGATTCTCAAACCACTCTGGGAAAGAAAGCTCAGCAAAGGTTTTACAAATACATAATCCTCTTTGATTCCATCTCCTGCTAAAATAAATTCACTTTTATTTTTATTTTTCAGTACTAGGGATTAAAGCCATGTTTAATTAAGGCCTCACTCATGCTAGGCAATTGCTCTACTGCTGAGCTATATCCCTACCTCTTTCCTATGTTATATTTTTATATGGCTCTCTAAGTTACCCAGGCTGTCCTCCAACTTGTGATCCTCCTCCCTCTGCCTCCTGAGTAACTGCCATTACAGATGTGTATCACACACTGAAAATAAAATTTCAAATGACTAAAAAATCAACCTAGACCCTGGTTTTGTGGAGCTTCTCCATCATATCTTCACATTGTTATATTTTACTCTGCTCTTCAAAATGAACTTACAAGGAAACATTCAGGCCAATCCTTAGTCACTATCATCAAATTATTTCTAACACTTTCTCCCACTTTAAAAAACAAAAACATGTCCACTTCCTTTGCACTTTGAGCTCTGATAGGTTGAGTATCTACATAGTTACAATTGAGATGATGGTGTCCCGGAACCATAATTGTGGGAAACAGAGGTCACCTTCAGCTGTAGCTCACTGGAGTTGTCCAGGATTGGGAATTCAATCTTAAAGATTCCATTTGGGGGGACCGTATAATTCATGATCTGGACAGTGTCCATGTCCTGATTGCCACGGTTCTGTCTGCTCCAGAAATCGGTTTTGTTTCTCTGTGTCACTGTTATGACTACATTATTTCTTCTTTCTTCAAGAGTCAGTTGGTTGCCATCAGAACGGCTTACCTTCACCTAATTGTCAAAACAAGATATTTTTAAAATAGGTAATTTTTTTAAAAAATGATTTAAGTTCAGCTGGCTGCAGTTTCCATCTGTAATATCCCAAGACACTAAGTCTCAACAGTTATTGATGGCACTCTCATCTTCAGATTCATTGGCCTCTCTGTAGGAGGCATCTAGAGGCCCACGATCCTGCTTTCTTAACATTATGGCTTCCTTGACTTCCATGGCTCCACAACAGTCTCCTTCATTTCATACCTCTCCTTGTGCACCCTCTCAGTGTCCTTTATGGTTCCCCTTTCCTCTCACAAATTATGGGAATTTGTCAAGGCCAAATAATCAGTAAACTCTTCCTCAAAGGTCTCAGTGTTCCTAGGGCTTAGCTTGTTGTTTCCTTGGGATTATACGGCAAATTCAAAAACCCTGTTTTTACCTTGCACTGCATCTCACAACAAAATACCTCCAATTCCCTCCAAGAAATTTTCACTTGGCTACCAGTCACCAGGAACTCAGCATGTCTAACACAGAACAACCATCTTGCCTTGCTTTTTTCATTGATACCCCAATTCTTCAAAACTTACTTTCCGAATGTTCCCTCCCTCACCCTACCTCCAAAATCCAATGAACACCAAGTCATATATTTCTCTGAATCTACCTGCCACTCTCCCAGCCACCACCACGAGGCTCCCCATCGCCCCACACCGAGGCTGCTTCCATCCTCCAGCACATAACCCCATCAGTCCTACTCAAACAGTTTCCGCCATATCCCTAGGGTATAAAGTTCAAATCCATATGGGAGACATTCAGGATCCTCTAGTTTTATCACTCCCAGAAACAATGCTCAGCTGGGACTGCAATTGTCCACATTCAGGATCCTCCAGTTTTATCACTCCCAGAAACAATGCTCAGCTGGGACTGCAATTGTCCAATCACTGTCTTCTGAATACCTCCGAATTTGCCAACCAGCCTCTCACTATTGTTTGTTTGTTTTTTGTCTCAACTCATCTTGCTCCCCACCTCCCACCCCCATGCCCAAACACTTAAAACTCTACTAATCTTTAACAAAGCATTCAGAACTTCCTCTTCCATATAGTATTCCTTAACCCCCATTCCTAACCCAAACCCAAACCTTCCTTCCTGAACTCCATTGTTTCCCTCATCTGGAAACAAATGTCAGCAGCCTTGTGATTTTTATCTTTCAAATTGTCTAAATTATTGAGATAACTGAAATCAGTAGCTATCTAAAACTTCTCTTCACACATTCAAGAAGGATCAGCCCCTCCTTTCTTTTAAACAAGAGTTAGCTAACTGGAAAGCAGGCATGCCTATCCAGTATTTTTGTAAATATAGTTTTACTAGACTATAGTCACTCTCATTTGTTTACAAATCGGCTGTGGCTACTTACATATTACAATGACAGAGTTGAGTAGATGTGACAAAGACCACATGGCCCAGAAAGCTAAAAATATTTACTATCTAATCTCTACAGTAAAAGTTTGCAACACTTGCTTTAAATCCCTACAGAAACTAACTCATGACTGAATCTTATACTTCCTTGAATTATAGTTCTGTGCATATTTTCTTGTCACCATCAGAAAAACCTTGAACTAGGTAGCACTGGGTCTTTCTTAGCTCCATAAGCCCTGCCTTGCACCACACCTTGCACTCTGTCAAAATGTATTAAAGTAACAAGTGTTAATTCAACATTTTTTTTAAAAAAAAAGAGATTTGATGTTAAATTTTAAAGCTGTATCTTTTCTAGAAATAAAATTAGCATTATAAAAATCAGATTTAAGCCCGGTGTGGTGGCACACACTTGTAATCCCAATGGCTTGGGAGGATGAGAGAAGAGGATTGAGTTCTAAGGTGAGGTGCAACCCAGTGAGACCTTATCTCTAAACAAAATACAAAATAGGGAAACAGGGCTAGGGATGTGGCTCAGTGGTCGAGTTCCCCTGAGTTCAATTCCCCAGTACCAAAAAAAAAAAAAAAGAAAAGTGATTTAAATTAAAATTTTGATCACTATCAAATCCCTTCAATTAATAAAAGCTTCAATGTAACAAATCTAACTTAAACTGTTTGCTAAATAAATCTCTAGGAAGATATTTTGTTGTTGTTAGAAATGACTCTTTTAGGAAAAAGTAGGCCCAGATCACTTAGAAACAATTCTACATACCTCACATATCTAAAGAGAAAAGGTAATATATCGAATTTTTGACTAAAATTTTTGAAGAAACACTGAGTATACTCTTTCCCATTCTGTTTCATTCAACTGAACTTACTGCTGCTATGGACTAGTAATAAATATACCAACTTACAGTGGCTGTGAAGTTCAGAGTTGGCTTCAAGACAGTAGGATAATCAAAAAATTCAATGATGTAATCATGTTGCTTGAAAAACACATTGGAGCTTGCATTTCTTGAGATGCCTATTTTGGAAATTGCATCATTTAGAATGAAAAAGAAATAATTCACCAACAGCTTCTATCCACCAAATCTTTCCATCTAAGCTACTTGTAAAAGAGGCTGAAGATATCAGGACACATAAGCCTCATTTCTATACTGGCTTAACACACAATAAGAGAACCACATGGTCTATTATGTTCTCTGTGGACTGCTTTTAATTAAACACTACTACCATCATCCTCCCTCAGTGACATAGACACACAAAAGCAGATTAGGGCCAGTGACAGAATAGTCTTTTGCTCTTCCAGTGATTGGTTAAAGCTGTTGAAATAACAACAGAAATGTACAAATAACTAACATTTTTTTAATTAAAGGAGAAAATCATCTAGAACCAGGTGAGATTTCAGATTATGTTAAGTAATTTTAAAAAAAGGAGAAGGTGACTGGGGTTGTGGCTCAGCGGTAGCACATTTGCCTTGCATGTGTGAGGCTCTGAGTTTGATTCTCAGCATCGAATATAAATAAATAAAATAAAGGTCTATCAACAACTAAAAAAAAAAAAAAGAAGGAGAAGAAAGAGGAAGAAGAAATAATAGCTGAAAATGTAGGCCTTTCTGGGTGGTTTTCAAGCTAAAAAGAGACTAAAAATTGAAAAATGCAAATAGCTATCACATGTGATTGAAGCACAAACTTTCACAGAAAATAAGTTTCACTCCTATTATGAAAACATCTCACAAGTTATAGTCTTGAAAACTTCAACATTAAATAGCATCTTTTAAAAAGCAACTAATGGGGGCTGGGGATGTGGCTCAAGCGGTAGCACGCTCGTCTGGCATGCGTGCAGCCTGGGTTCGATCCTCAGCACCACATACAAAAACAAAGATGTTGTGTCCGCCGAGAACTAAAAAATAAATATTAAAATTCTCTCTCTCTCTGTCTCTCTCCCTCTCTCACTCTCTCTTTAAAAAAAAAAAAAAAAGCAACTAATGCCCCCAAGTGAAAGTGCAAGTTATAAAAAGAGATTTCAGAGCAGCAACACACAAGTAGCTTTACCTTCAAGTCAATGTCCACAAACCTGTAAGTGATTCTGTCACTGTGGCTAGAATTTCTATTGGCCCAGGAGTAGAGAGATCCGAGTGTTCAGAATGCCCATCTGAAAAGTCCATCACCTTTTTCATCTCTTCATCATTAAAAGAGAAGTTTGCAGATCCATTTATCTGTTTTGTTTAAAAGTTCAGTTTTATTCTCACTTTAGCAATTCAAATTCTAGAAATAAAACTCAAACTAAGTCACAACACCACAACGGCTCCATATTAATCAGTGTTGTAAGTGGGTAAATTCTCACTTTTCCAATGCCACAAAGTTCTTGATTTTCTTACATTCAATTTTTTTGCTAATTTAGTACAAAATCTTATTTTTAGGAAAAATACACATATTTTCCCATCACGAGTTATAAACTGAAAAAAATTACCTTAAATTTTTTTGTAATATTTTTCTTTTCTCCCCAAAAAGATAGAGGTAAAAATGTAAGCACTACATCTCCTTTCACTGGCTTCCCATATGTATACCTGAAAAACAATAAACAGGGTTTTTTTGTTTTCCCAAAAAACTTAACATTATCAGAAGAACAAAATAAAAAATATTACTTTCAATAGCATACACTAGCAATCTAATATAGAAGAATTATATTAAATACATGCTCCTACAGCAAATTTTTAAAAACTAACCCAGGGCCTCCCACATGCGAGTCAAATGCTCTACCACTGAACTACATCTTCTACTATTTTTATTTTATTTTGAGACAGGATCGATCCAGCTGGCCTCAAACTTTCAATTCTCCTCCCTCAGCCTCCTGAGTAGCTGGGATTACAAGTATGAACCACACCCAATTTGAAGATTTTTAAATGTCAGTTGAACTTGCAATCACCATGGCCAATGACTGCATGTTCCAGTATTAGTCAGGAGGGATTATTTGATCTTAGATTCTGAAGCACTGAATGAACTCACAGCTGCCAAAAATTATTTTTTTGCAAGAAAAATCAAAAATAGTGATTTTTAAAATCTATAGTATCAAACTTATCTTCTTGAATCAAATCTCCTTCTCTGATGTTAGCAGTCTATGTATTATTAGTATCCACTCTCATCATGGGAAATTCTCCTCATGCAAAGGAGAGGCACTCTGATGAATCATTTTACTGCCAGGAAGTCTTTTTAAAATGTGTTTTCTAGATTTCTTCCATCTCTATTATGAAATGCGAAGCCAAATGTAAAAATAATTTTGCTTTGAATTCTATAAATTGTATAGTAAACTACAGCTTCCTGAATCCAGTGATTAGATACAGAAATAGCCCCTCATCCGGGTCAACTCAGCTCAAAAGCAAACATTGCAAATCTCAAAAAAAAATTTTTCAACCTTCAATGTATCACCCTTCCAAACAAAAATAGTAAAGGTAGTAGAAACCCACGTTAGAAACCTTAGCATCAAAATCACTTACTCTAAAGTCTTCCAAACCTAACATTGTTTGTATCTTGTTAAAGATTAAATAAAAGCAAAGCTATAATACCAGCATATTGTATTTTAAAAGAGCTGTATCACATGTTAGTAGAGTTTTTAAATAATAATTTACTCTCAGATGCAAATTTTTAATTTTGGCTCGAATGTGAGGCTGACTTAGCTTTCTACCAAGCTGATAATAATCACTGTGAAACAGGAATACTGAAAATTAGTATCCTAAATAAAATCTGAACGTATTTAGAATACCTTAATTATTCATAAAATAACTTGACAACATTTGACAAAGCAAATCAAAGATATTCTGGGATAGTATCATTAAGAAGACAAGAATTTTTTTTCTAAAAACATCCATAGTACAAAAATTTATAAAATAACACCTTAAAAAATGAACCGTATAATTCATGTTTCTCTCCACCTACCTTTTTTTCCTTCATGTTATTTCCAAGATACAAATGTCTTAATTCATCAAATAAATACATTTTAATAAACCTTAGATTAAATAATCTATTTTAATTCTACTGTTCCCAGGAGTTGTAGGAGCAAACTAGATATATGCTGTGTTATTTGATTTAGAATCCTCTAAAGCTCATTGTGGTTAGGAAGAAAGAATCTATTATTTATTTTTAATGAGGTAGTTAATAAGCAGATATTCACATCAAAGGTAACAGACAAATACACCAAAAACTTTTATTTTTTTAGTCACCTCATTTAAAGATCTCAAAACCAAATGAAATCTTTTTAATTCATTCTAATTAGTTATATATGATGGTATAATGCATTTTGACACATCATACATAAATGGAGAATAACTTCTCATTCTTCTGGTTGTATGTGATATAGGATCACACCAATCATGAAGTAATATATGCACATAGGGTATTGTACCAAATAGAACCTTTTAACCTTCTCCAAGAAATTTGTAGCAATGCCCTGTACATTTAAAATAACCTTGATGGAACAGATGTCTACTTGCAAAAAAGAGTAACCTAAATTTCTTATCATGCACCCTTAGAGATGACTATGACAGCTATTATAAAATATTTATTTGCAAGACCATTTCTAAAATTTAAAAACAACTACATGAAAAGTAAGACAACAGAACCCATCTTTCAAAATACACCTGAGGAACTTGATTTCGGGTTCTACTCCCTAATTTGATAAGACCAAATCTATTGCCCATACAACTCAATCTGGTTCACTCCAAATCACAACCTTTAAATTTGGTACGAAGACCTTGGCTGTGCTACATACAGCTTGGAACTGAAATCTTAGGAGCTGTGTTGTTCATCCAATGTTCTTTCAGCAGTATTTACTGGATGCCTATTCCATAGCTGACATGTACTAAGCACCAAGGTGCAGTAGTAAGACAGACTCATTTTCAAAGAAGTGAACCAGCAAACAGCAAAGCTGTGCAACTAGTTCTGTGATAAAAGAGGGTCAGGGGGAGTAGCCACGCCTTGAAATTACCTAAATAAAGATCATAGAAAGCATTTTTCCTTCTTGAAAGCACAAGTAAAATTTGGGGAGTAGAGTTTGAGAGAGAGGAGAAGGGGCTGCATGGTGTCAGGAAATACATTTAATGGAAACTGCAACAGTAATTAAGAAGAGATAATGTAGGTCTGAATCAAGGAAGTAGCCGTGGAGAAAAGTGGATGGATTTGAGAGATATTAAGGAGACAGGATCAACAGCACTGGTTGTTGATTGGATATGGGAATTGTTAAAAGAGAAGGAAGAGCGTGGCTGACTGGAGCAGCTAAACCAATGATGGTTCAGTCCACCAAGATGGCAGGAGGGGTGTCACAAAAGAAGCATCAGGTTTCAGAGAGGTGATATGCTTAGTTAAGAGCCTATAAGATACCTGAGGGAAGATGTGTAGTGTACAGCAAGATATGAGGGTCTAAACCTCAAGACAGATATTGGGGCTGGAGACAAGGATTTAAGAGTCGTCAAATTATACACCATAGCAAAATCCCAAGCCATGGGGAAGGAAATGAAATAAACGTGTACAGAAAGAAGGGTGCCAAAGATGGAACTTTGAGGAACAAGAACTTTTCAAAGATGGCCAGGAAAGAAGAGACTGCAAAGAGTCTTAAAGGAGTAGTTAAAGGCAAGGAGCAAACCCAGAAAGGAAATTAGAGTGGATAGCAATGCCAAATGCTACAAAAGGGGAAAAAATATTTTTAAAAAATGTGCCCATGAGACTGAGCAGGAAGGAGGTCTTTGTGATCATGGTGAAAGCAATTCTGACTGATTGTAGGTGGTTGAGGAATAAATGAAATGTGAAGAAGTGGAAAATGCATCTGTGACTGGCTGTTAAGAAGCCAGAGATAGGGCCCTGGATGGAAGGACAGGGGAGGGTTTGTTTCTTTAATGATAGAAATGATTAAGAGTGAAGATGCCTCTAAAGAACAAAAGGTTAAAGATACTGAATGGAAAAGTTCCAACTCAGGAAGAGGAAGTGGGATTGGAACTCTCCTGATAGCAGCCTGACAAGGAACAAGTGGAAGAATTAGCCTTTAGAAGGAAAAGAGCTGCAGCTTTCATCCTGACAGTCAGTCAGGATGATGGAGATACAGACAGGGAGATCGTAACCACCTCATCTCCACCTCTACTGGGACACAGTATTTATAGAGTATGTGTACGCTCAGCTATAAACTGATTTAAAAAAAAAAAAAAGGCAGGCATGGTGGTGTATGCCTGTAATCCCAGCAATTTGGGAAGCTGAGGCAGGAGGATCACAAGTTCAAGGCCAGCCTCAGCAATTTAGTCCCTAAGCAACTTAGTGAGACCCTCTCTCAAAAAATAAAAAAAAATGGCTGAGGGTGTAGCTCAATGGTTAAGCACCCTTAGGGTCAATCCCAAGTATCAAAACAAAAACCTGATAAAAAATCTCAAGTATTTCCTTACTCTACTGCGATGTTGTAAACTACATTCTCAGTCCGATTTTCAATCCTAAAGGCAAAAGCACACTCTTCTGAAATTCACTGGTAGGCCCAGCACTCTACTTTGGTATAGAAGGAATGTTCATGATTTATTCACAGGCCTTGGCATGGAATGGGAAGGGTTTAGGCCATGTTAGTTGCAATTCTTCTTACTTGCACTGCTCTGGAATAGAACTATCTGTCACCCCCATGGGCATCACCTCCAGGCAACTAAAGCCTGAAGGAGATGTTAATAGAAAGGAAGTACAGAATAAACCTTCATCAGAGCTAGCCAGGTCTGAAAGCAGCAAAGAGGCTCACTATCCACACCTGAGATACCAAGCACACTGTGATGGTCCTGTAGGTGTGTCAACTTCACCATGCTAGATCATCCTATTACAAAATCAAACACTAATCTAGGTATTGAGGTAATGGTATTTTATATATGTTGTTAGAATTCATAATTGGTTCACTCTAAGTAAAAGAGATTTTCCTAGATATCTGAGTGGGCCTGATTCAATCAATTCACAGATCTTAAAAGCAGCGCTAGGATTTCCCTAAATTCTGCCTGTGGAAGCAACTTAGGCCTCTGCCTGAGAATTATAACCTCATCCTCCATTCCTGGCAGCCTGCCCTATGGATCTTGCACTACCTAACCAGTGCCGCAATCACTAAGCCTATCTCTTGTACTATATCCTCTTGTACTAAACATATATTACTATATGTTTCTTACTGCTTCTACTTCTCTGGCCAACCTCTATACACATACTAAGTTTGCAATACAGCGAGCACTACAGAAATGCCAGGAGACTATCACAAATATGTCATTCTCAACTGTTAGTTAGAAATTCAAGCATTACAAACTGTGGTGAAACTATAAGGTTCCCTATTGGGCTTGAGGTAAGGATATTAGTGGTGAGAGCTCAGAGGGTCCATGGCACCCTAAAATTACATGTAAAATTTTCTGGAGGTTACCCAACTTTAACAACCACTGTTTTGACTGTTTCTACTAAATTTTCTGGCACACCTCTGGAAACCAAAAACAGAATCAAAGAAGAGATCCAGGCTCAATCGAACCTATGTGGACATGGATTGTGCAGATCTACATATATTTGGGGTTTGTACCAGAGTTGTTCAAAGTTTTAAAAACATTACCAAAGAACTCAAAATAAACCCCAAACAGGATGCTGAACCTTTGACTGAAATCAAGTACAGTATAATAATTATGTAAAATGCAGGCATTTGTGTGTTTTCCAAACCACAAGTCCATCCACAACCTCCAAATTCATATTGGACGTTGTTTCTTGAACATAAGCAGATAATAATTTGGTATAAATCATAGACATGATTCTGTTTCTGTATTGTGTGTTTCATGTAATTTTGTTGTTGTTGTTGCACACTTTAAAGCAGGAATTTTTAGAACATTTTGGATTGTGAAGTGCTTCTGCCAGGAGATTCACTGCCCATTGCTTACACTGACATAGATTCTCACCAGTGATGATACAGTGGTGAGACAGTAGTAGGGGAGTCCAGTTTTTCTTAGCTCTTAGAAATAAATTTCAGAAGCTGAAGCATAGATACAGACACATCAAAAAATAAAAGCTACAAAAGACCAATCTTTGAATTACTTGAGGGCCATCCCAGCCTGAACCACTAGTCTAGAACTCTGAGTAAGCTTTTTGCCTCAGCAATACAAAATGCTGTGCTGTTCAAGCTAGGGGGTCCAAATCATGACAGCCACCAGACATATGTGAGACAGGGTGAACTGAAGGTCTCTGTGTACATATGGTGAAATGAATGAATGTTGATTATTCACATATCTGCCAATTTCAATAAGACAACCACTTCCTCTCCCACCTCCATTATCAATGAGAAAAACAGCATAGGATTTAAGAAAAGCTAAGTTAGTTGCCTCAACTCTACATCATCTGAATGGAGAATAAGGAAATATACATAATTTTTTTAATATGGCAACTTATAATGTATATCCTTAAAGTAGTCTTGGTTTGGGGAAATATTTTAGGACTAGATTCGCTTGGAAACAGAGACATGGATATAAAGACCTGTCTCATGCTTGATTACTTATTATAAATAGTTGTTTATCACCTATTAGGATACTTTGATAAGCAAAGCATAGTGCTAATATTCTGGAATATATAATGAGCTTTTTGTTTTACAGTTTTATAATGGTTGAGAGTCTTATCAAAAGAAAAGTAATACTTACTTTGCGGTGATGGTACCATTTAAATTCTTAGAAGTCAAAGAACAATATAATGGTGTCTGCAAAGCAACTTCAAATTTTGGTAACACTGGGGGGAAAAAGCAATCTTTTAAAGAATATGTTTTACCATTATCTTCAGCTGAGCAAAATAAAAAATTAAAATTTTCTGAAAGAATTGATAATTTTTATTAAACTTAGAATCATTAGAATCCAAACACACATTAACACAGATGAATACCCCTTTATTTTATTCAAATTAGAAATCCTTACTTAGGTCAGCTTTATGTAATCAAGTATGAAATATGTATTAATTAATACTATTTGGCATAAAGCACCCCACCAGAATAAAAACTGTTTGCTTTTTTCTGATCTACTGAAATTTTTTTTCTATAATTTCACTGATCAAAGACAAATCTAAGTCTCATAACAAGGTACCTCACCACTCAATTAACAGAAGACAAATATCAAAAAGACCTGTGGGTCCCATGAGGGAAGACTTTCAGCTCAAATAATGCTACAGGCCCTCTTCATGCTCCAAGTCCCTCCTGTACCCTGGACCAGTCTAAGACAGGAGGCCAAAAGGGAAATTCAAATACCTTCTCCTCACACATTATAGGTTGGCAATCATACGCTGTACCCCACCCCCTAGAAACAGTGTGTGCTGAGATCCTAAGCCTGAGCCACAAAGGGATAAGCACACTACTTCCAGAATTTCAGCTGCCTGAATGAAACACAGCCTCAAAAAGTGGCACAAATTAAATGAAAAAACTCAATATACAAACTAAGATGGAAATCCCATGCTTTCACCTTCATCTCTCCTCCATTCATAAACCAACTAGCTGAATCCACAGTTTTCATCTGTTTTTAACACAATATTATAAGTGCTGCACTTATAAGAATATGATTAACCCGAGTTAAATAGGTGGTCTTCAGCAATGTTAACCAAATAAAATGTGGAAAATAATTGACAGTAAGATGAGAGTTTTTTTAAATTTGATTTTGTGGTGTGATGATGAAACCCAGGGCCTTTTGCATGCTCTACCACTGAACCCCAATGTTTTTCTTTTTTTTTTTTTTTTTTTTTGCTTTTTGGTACCAGCGGTGCCTTACCACCAAGCCACATTCCCAGTTCTTTTTTTTTTTTTTTTATTTCCTATTTTGAGACAAGCCTTACCAAGTTGCTGAGGCCAACCTTGAACTTGGGATCCTCCTACTTCAGTTTCCTGAGTTGCTAGGATTAGAGGCATGTATCACTGCACTACACACAACTAACCCCAATGTTTCGACTTTTAAAAACTCAAAAAATTTTAAATATTTTATGGTCACAACAAATAGAAAAACTATATAAAAGGAAAAGACTAGCATAATGAGAATTTAGGTAATATTTTTTCCTACTTTATTCTTTTAGTGAGATTTTAGAACTTTATAAAGGAAAATACTTGTTTAGGCCTATAAGGAACACCAGAATTTTATCTCCACTTTAAGTAGCCTATCTCTTGACAATTTCTCTTATCTCTGTAGAAAGTAATTAATGTGTTGTTGTTGTTGTTGTTGTTTTCCTTCAAAATAAACTGAGGAACTCACCATATTCTGAGACTTGAAATGATTGATAATATGTCTGGTCCTATTGGGAGGAAAAAGAAAAAAGACAAAGCATATGAGTTCTTATTCAATCATTTTGCTTGCTTACTTACCTGCATATAAACGTTTAGAAAATTAACTTTGTTCATTAAATTATGATTTAATGAACAAAACAGTTTATCTTAATTTGTGAAAGTTTATTTTTAGACAACTGCAATAATAAGCTTACAAAATTTCAGAGTTTTACTTCTCAACTTTGCTTACATAAACAGATGACCTATCTCTTGAGATAGGTCATTTAAATAAAACTGTTTAATATGGTTTCCATCATTTGCAAAATAGGATTAAATTTGATAATCAACAAATTTTATAAAGTAAGGATAAACCATATCAGTTAAATAGGAATGACTTCAATTTTGTTTTGGTATCACTATAAAATAAACAATGGTTAAAATGATGTTAAACATAATTGATTTTTTTTTTATTTTGAGACAGTCTTACTAAATTGCTCAGGTTCTCCCTAAATTGATGAGGCTGACCTCAAACTTGTAATACTCCTGCCTCAGCCTCCCATGTTGCTGGGATCACAGGCATGAGACATCATGATGAATTCCAAATTCTTATACATAATCTAGGATACAAAATCATCATGAACCAACATGCTCCACCTTTCTAATTCCTTGAATTATTATCTAGTTAACCATTAAATCAATACAGTTTATTCTAATTTAATAGATACCATAATTATTTCCTTTTCTAATATCAAGAAGAAAACATGTGGTTTATTATATCATTTTTCTAACTCATATTTCAAACTGTCCATTCTAAATTATAACACATTAAATAGAACCTTTTCAAAATAACTAAGTAATTCCAACATTGAAATCTGTATTCTAAATCTGATTCCCTAAACTCATCAAAGCAAACACACTGATATGACTATGAAATATTAACATTTCCTAAAGTTAAATCTAAAACATCTGCATATCAAGAAGTTATTTCTTTACTGTCTACTGGGAATTTATTTTTTAAAATTTGTTCTAATTAGTTATTAATGACAGTAGAATGCATTTTGATATATTGTACACAAATGGAGCACAACCTCTTATTCCTCTGGCTGTGCATGGTACAGAGTCACTCCCATAGTATAATCACACATGTATATAAGGTAATAATGTCTATCTCATTCTACCATCCTTGCCATCCCCACAGTCCCACCCCTCCCTTTCTTCCCCTCTACACAAGCCAAAATTCCTTCATTCTTCCCTATCCCCCTGTTCCACTATGGAAGAAGTTATTTATTAATCTTAAAGGAAGGCTATAGGCCCTAATAGGTTGGGGATGTGGCTCAAGCTACCGGTAGCGTGCTCGCCTGGCATGCGTGCGGCCCGGGCACCACATACAAACAAAGATGTTGTGTCCGCCGAAATCTAAAAAATAAATATTAAAAAATTCTCTCTCTCTCTCTCTCTCTCTCTCTCTTTAAAAAAAAAAAAAAGAGGCCCTAATAGCCAAAGTAATCCTAAGCAAAAAGGGCAACAATGGAAACATCACAAGACCTGATTTCAAAACATACTACATAGCCACAGTAACGACGTAGCATAGTGCTGGTATAAAATCAGACCCATAGACCGTAATAAAACAGAGGATCCAAAAATAATCCACACTCTTACAATCATCTGATTCTCAACAAAGGAGTCAAAAACATACATTGGAGAAAAAAAACAGCATCTTAACAAATGATGCTGGGAAACCTGGATGTCCACATGTAGAAGACTAAAAGTGTATCCCTATCTATCACCCACACAAAAATCAACTCAGAATAGATAAAAGGCTGGGCGCAGTGGCACATGCCTGTAATCCCAGCGGCTCTGGGAGGCTGAAGCAGCAGGCTCATATGTTCAAAGCCAGCTTCAGCAACTTAATGAGGCGCTTAGAAACTCAGCAAGACCTTCTCTCTAAATAGAATGCAAAAAGGACTGGGAATGTGACTCAGTGATTAAGCACCCTTGGGTTCAATCCCCAGTACCATAAAAAAAATGGATCAAAGACTTGAATATAAGACCTGAAACTCTGACACTACTAGAAGAAAACAAAAGAAACACTTTGATATATTAGCATAGGCAACAATTTCCTAAATAGGACTCTAATAGCTCAGGAAACAAAAGCAAAAATTGATAAATGGGGTTTCACCAAATTAAAAAATACTATAGAGGGCTGGGGATGTGGCTCAAGTGGTAGCGCGCTCGCCTGGCATGCATGTGGCCCGGGTTCGATCCTCAGCACCACATACAATGATGTTGTGTCCACCGAAAACTAAAAAATAAATATTAAAATTCTCTCTCTCTCTCTCTCTTAAAAAAAAATTTTAAAAAAATACTACAGAGTAAAGGAAACAATCAACAGAATAAAAAGACAACTTATAGAATGGGAGAAAATCTTTGCCAGCTATTCATCTGAAAGAAATTTAATATCCAGATTATATACATGAATAGCCGATAGAAATTAAATATCCAGAATATATTATAAAGAACTCAAAAAACTTACCAACAAACCCCAAAAATTAATCCAATTAAAAAAAAACTGGATGAATGACCTGACAGATACTTCCCCAAGAGAGGTACAAATGTCCAGTAAGTATATGAAAAATGCTCAATATCTTTAGCCATCAGGGAAATGTAAAACAAACTACATGAGATTATATGTCACCCCAGTTAGAATGCCCATTATCAACAAAGTAAAAAATGACAAATGCTAGCAAGGATGTGGGGAAAAGGAACTCTTCATACACTCTCAGTGGGACGGTAAATTCGTACAGCCACTATAGAAAACAGTGTTGAGGTTCCTCAAAACACTAAAAAACAGAACTGCCATATGATCCAAGTATCCCACTCTTTGGTACGTATCCAAAGAAAATGAAGTCAGCATACAAAAGGAACATCTCCTTACCTATATTTATTGCAGTACTATTCACAATACCAAAATGTGGAATCAGCCTAGGTTCACATCAACAGATGAATGGATAAAGAAAAGGTAAAACGTACACATACACTGGAGTATCATGCAATCATAAAGAATGAAATCATGTCATTTGCAGGAAAATGGATGGAACTGGAGGACATGTTACACAAAATAAGCCAAACACAGAAAAATAAGTATCACTTATTTTCTGTCATGTGTTGAGACAATAGAATAAATGAATAAATAAGATTATCTGAAAGTAGAGGGGGATTTTAGGGAAGAGAAAGGGACCATGGGGGACAGGGAAAGTATGGCAAGAGAAGGCAGTGAGAAGGTGGATATAACCAAAGTACAATATATGCATTTATAAAAATGTCACAGTCAAACCTGTTAATTGTACAATTAATGTGAGTTAAAAATAATATAATTTTTAAAAGCCAATATTTTTTCATTAAAACAGTCATGCATGAAAGTGTTCCTCTGACATTTAGCTATTCCATTATTTTTTAAAGGCTCCTTATTAATAGTCCTTCTATGCCGGAGATAAAGAACACAAACATTAATGATAAAATTGTATGGATTTATTTAGAAAACAAAAAAAAGTAAGGATATAGTGCATTTCAAAATATAAAACAAATATAAGTACTTATATGTAACAAAATAGTTGTCCAGCCAGGCGCTGTGGCGCACATATATAATCCTAACAAGCTTGGGAGCCTGAGGTAGGAGGATAGCAAGCTCAAAAGACAGCTTCAGCAACTTAGTGAGGCCCTATCTCCCCCACAAAAAAATAGGGCTGGGGATGTGGCTAAGTGGTTAAGCACCCCTGGGTTCAATCCCCAGTCCCCAAAAAATAAATAATAAATTGCCGTCTGAAAGTTGATTTTAATATGGTCATTTAAATAATATCCTAAATAAGTTGTGCTGTTCTGATCAAACTTAATCATATCTGTGATGTGTGACTTAAATTGTTCTTGTCAAATACAGAAATATTATAAATTACATGTATTTAATTCATTTGTTAGTTCTAATTTGTCATCTTAAAAATCAAATCAAGAAGGTAAAGTACTCAAGTACCTGTATTATTTTACTGGCAAAGAATTCTAGTCTTAAAATTGGTTTTTGCTTTATTACTGAGGCCAGCACAAGTAAGGCTGTGGATAAGTAATTAAATTTACGTAGCAAATATTAATTAAGTAGTACATGCAAAACACCACATGAGGTTCTATAAAAATGAATTCAGACCTCAGCATCAGTAGCTATGGAGAAGGACATAGTCAAAGGCTATAACAGCTATGTACTATGTAACAATGGGCACGGTACCGTGGTGGCCACACCATACAGCCTAGTGTGTAGGAAGATGTACCACCTCAGTGTCGAAAGTGTATTCCATACACAATGTTCATACAAAAACAATCGCCTAGTGATGCATTTCTCACACTGTGTTCCTTCCATTAAGTGAAGCATCACTGTACATGATTGACAGTGTCTCAGGATTTCTGCCCGGTGCTTCTGCTCGTACTTTTTCCTATGTTTGACTTACTGATATTTCCATCTCTACCTATCTTCCAAGGCTTAGCTCAAAATTGTTTTCCTGAATCCCCAAACGAAAAGCAATCTCTCTGCCCTCTAAGCCTTCATTCATTTTAGCCCCTTCCTTTACTTCCCGTCACTTTTTACCTGTACTGTAAGTATTTAGATTCATGCCTTCTCTTGCTGCAAGTTCTGTCAGGTCTAGATTCATGTTGGATGGTTTCTGTATTGTTCATAGTTTATCCCTAGGGTTGCTAACCTACCCCATGTCTTATGCAAAAAAAGAAAAAAGAAAGGTGCTGGATAAATATGTTAGATTTAAAAAAAAAATTACTAGCTTCTACAAATGTAGAAAATCATCACATTTATTTGGGCCTACTTTAAACAAAAGGCTTAAAGCCAAGTTTTAGGCAATTATTTGCTTACCACATAATTATAGAAGATAATATTTTAAGTAAGTTCTCTCTCTCCTACTGCCCCCTACCTTGCCAATCATTCCTGATGACTCCCTGGGTTTTCAATCTTTCTTTAGTCTGTCTCTTCCCCTCA